CAGATTGGGTTCTTAGCAGTATCGATACATTATTTTATGCCCACTTGACTTGGCATTTCATTTTCCGTCTCTTTTTTTGGTATTTTCTAGTGATGAGTAAGAGCATGACAATAGCTGTCGTATCGATTTAAAAGAAGTCCTAAGAAGACCTCAAAACTGATAATTTATTCATTGAGAGAGATTTGACGGTCATTTTACAGATTGAGTTCAAGTATGTGGCTCAACTGGCGTTAGGGCTATGTTCACAGGATGGAATGATAACAATATATAAGAGTTTAGTTTGATTATACACGGTGGATTTAACTACATGAAAAGTAGCATGAAAAATAGCAACCCGGAAGAAGAGAAAAAGATGTGTGCAGCTTATAGCTCTGAATCATAACGGAGCTCGGGGTTTTGGTGTGGGCCCGATTATTTTGTCGTCACTTCAACTTCTTCAAGGGTTCCCTTCACTCGCTCCTCTTTGCAGCTGGCGCTGCTTTCATCCTATTCCTACATATCTCCGACTAGAATACTTGCCTCCCCCTGCCAACCATGTTCAAAAAGAAACCTACAGTGAATAACCCGTCTCCCCGCACTACCCCTCCATCGGAGCTTGCTGAACCCGCACCCTCAGCGCGATACAAACACAAGCATACTGACATGGCATAGATCAAAAACTTAGCGCCTCTACGGTCATCTGACCGGAGGAAAATCGCGGATCAGATCATCAAGGAATACCAAATCTCCATCCCCTCAACTTCCGCCGAAGATCCAGCCTCTACCACCTCCCCAAACCTGACATCGATCAGGAATGCACTTCTCCCCGATAACTCGCTCACCGCCCGATTCACAACAACGGCCGGTCCAGACCTTCGAGAGCTCACAGGCATCGTGTATGTCGGCGCGCATCCCGACGGCGAAGAGCGAGTGCTATGGTTCAAGCTGGAGCATGGCCCGGGAGCCGACAAGCGACTCTACCCCACCGTCTACACACTATGGCATAACCCGAATCTGGTCCCTTTGCTCTACACTCCGGGATTCGTGATGGGAAAGCTACATGGTGGGGCTGACCTTATGACGCCTGGTCTTGCGAATGAACCACCATTCCCCGCAAGGGCAGTCAAGGGTGCTGTTGTTGCGGTCGCGAGCGTGGATAAACACACTGTGCCTCTCTTTGTAGGAATCTGTGAAATCGATATCTCGGCGCTGGGGGAGGTGCAAGGTACAAAGGGCTCGGCGGTTCGTGGATTGCATTGGGAGGGGGATGAGCTTTGGGCTTGGAGCTCTTCATCACGACCGGGCCGTGCAGCTCCGGAATACCTGGAGGGCTGGGACGAGGATGAGACTGAAGAGCTCGAGGATGGTGTTGAAGCGTTGACAGTTGAGGGAACTGGAGGCGCAGAAGAGATCGAGGAGACTCCAAAGGATGAACCTTCTTTAGCAGAGGAGGCTAGCCCCGAAGAGCCGGAGCCAACGACGAAGGGTGAGTTTACGCTGGATGATAACTGTGGACTTAACTCTGACAAAGAACAGATATTGATGATGCTTTCGTCAATGCCTTTGTTTACGCTCTCTACAAGCTCAAACAGGACAATCCCTCGGCCAACAACCATGGCCTGTCACTGCCAATCTCACCCTCAGCTTTAATAGCTAACTTCACCACCCCTTACCTACCAATCTATACTGCTCAGCAGGCCCAGTTTTACAACATCAAAAAGACAAGCTGGAAAAATGTCAAAAAGTTCATCAAGCATCTGGACAAAACGAAGCTCGTCAAATCCAAGGACCGCAACGGCCAGGAAACAGTGATTCTTGATGTCGACTTTGATGATCATCGTGTTGAGCGTTTCGTTCCATACAGACTACCCTCAAAGAATGCTCTCGAGAACAGCAAGCCTTCCGCATCAGAGGGGAAGAAGCCCGCAGCTACCGATGGCGGTGATCCCTCAGTGGGACAGACGATCAGTGTACAAAATCTCTATCGCCCATCAGGAAAGTTGATCCCAACCATCTTCCCCGCGCTTTCCGCCAGCAACCCAACCAACTTCTACAAATACTCCGATATCTCTACCCACTTGGATCAGTACTTGCAATCGCAAGATCCTCCAATTATCTCTCGGGAAAACCGACGTATCATCACCATCAATCCTTTCCTCGCCAATACGATCTTCACCTCATCCTCCACTGAAGACAAAGGGACGCTTGCACGTGGGAAGGTCACCCGCGACGGTCTTTTGAAGCGTATTGCTGAAGACAGAACCCTTCTCCAGCCGCATTACCTCATTTTGAAGAATAGCCAAACTATTGCAGATGTCAAACCTAAAGCAGGCACTGCTCCGAAGGTCACTGTCACCCTCGAGAAGCGCACAGGCTCGAAGACTGTCACGAAGGTTATGAACTTGGAAATCTTTGGTGTGATCCCTAGTCTTCTATCACAGGAACTTCAGAAGAAGTGTGCTGGCAGTACTAGCGTGGCGCAGGCTACAGGAGCACCCAAGGGTGTTATGGAAGTCCTGGTCCAAGGCGATCAGCGAAAGGCGATTGAAACAGCCCTTGGACGCCGTGGGCTGAAGACTCAGTGGATAGAAGTGGTTGACAAGACCAAGAAAAAGAAGAACTGATTTGTTCGAGTATGAAAACATAACCCTTGACAGGCAAGATTACTATACAAATGAAAGTCCAACTACGTAAGTGGGCTCATGCTCTGCATACACCAAGATAGCCAGCCCATAAGTTCCTGATAAGTTTATATCGACACAGCGTACATCACAAAAGAAAAAAATACCATCATGCCCGTCACTAAGTTAGGAAGGTATGTTGATGACGAGGAAGGGTGGTTGATCTATCTCCCATGAATGCATTGTACAACCACACCAAAGAAGCCATGAGCCTTGCGAGATCGGAAGGACTTCCCTCCAAGTTCTGCCCGGGATTTGTGCAACCGGTTCCCGTTCATGACTCGTAACAGAGGCAAAAGTATGACAGAGCCTCAACGTAAAGCCAATGCCAGCTTTCATAAACCATCCACAGATTTGCACAACTGAGACAGAGATTTTTCTGCCTTCACTTTTCAAAACAGTCACCAGACAGATGTCATGGCTACTGAGATCCGATATTCTTTCTGATTTATTTATCAAATCGAGAAGATATCTATGGATGTAAACAAACCCCATGGCGAATAGCATAGCCTGAATGTAAATACGTGCCAATCGATGATCATCTCATAAGTCGATACCATTTCTAGCCTGCTGCACATACTTGTTTTTCATAATTGATCTTTCTATGATGAAATCAGTAACCACCATTGACACAGATTACATTGATTGGATTCTCTGCACCTATCGCAAGGCTGATGCATAGCCTGCATTGATGCCAGTCCTATCATTTCAACGTCATTGGGTGTGGACTGTCTACATGTATGTGTCACCCAAGATTGGTTGGTACCTACTAGCAAGGTAAGTATACGGCAGTCATGAGAAAGATTAAGTGCAAATTATGTGGAGTAGACATATATTTGGACGTGACTCTGTAACAACCTTGGAACTGAGATATCCAATTTCTAAAACCGTGGTCATATCTATTACTACACATTTCTGGTACCAGCCTACCATCATGCCGACCAAAGCATATAAATCAACTCCCTCATGCGCCAAAGTCTTGATGCTACACGGTGCGTTGTACCCTATCTATACCTTGTCTTTAAAGTCATGTCTAACATAGAAACCATCTAGGACATGGCCAATCTGGCCATTTCTTCCGATGCAAGACTCGATTCCTGCAACCAAAGGCAAAGCAAATTGTGCTCAACGCTCTACAGCAGAATCCAACTCATGACCCCGTCGATGTCGTCGAGTTCCACTATCCTTCAGGGAAGCTTCCTGCCAACCCAGATCAATCCCGAGAAGAAAGCAACTTCATGTGGGCATGGGGATACGGTAATATTGACGAAGATCGTATCCAAGGCCTTGAGAAGTCTATTCAAAATATCTTCCAGTACATGGAAAAGTATGGCCCTTTCATCGGAGTCATGGGATTTTCGACAGGCGCGTGCATTGCTGCTATCATTACTTCGCTTTTGGAGAAGAGGAAGTCGCTTTGCAACATCGAGTTTAACGTAAGTGCAGTCGCCGAGACACCTGTGATAATGACGATTGATTTAAATTGAAATAGACCAACCATCCTCCCTTCGAGTTTGCGGTGTCCTTTTCTGGATTTACACTTGCTAATCCATTCTACGACCCAATATACAGCCAGATTACCACGCCATTTCTTCATGTTATAGGTACCCTGGACACGATGATTCAGCAATACCAATCTTCAAGACTCCAAGAATGTTGCAAGAATTCGTTCACGCACTACTTTTGGGGGGCACACTATGTACCTCGCTCTGAGGAATTTCTGGGAGCCTTAGGTAGATTTTCCGAGGAGATGTTGGCTCTTAAAGGGGATAATAAATGGCAACTTGAAGGTGACCAGGAGGAGGCTTGGGAAGACTGTGAGGATTGGGAGGATTCCAAGGTACTTTAGGATTCGTGCTTTGTATATCGTGTTTGTTTTATCGTCAAGCTTGATCTACGTTCTGTTTGTTGTCTCAGCCCAGACTCCTTGCGTGACAATGAAGAGCAGACTATTATAAATGGCTTATTGTAAATGTACGAGCCAACAAATCGACGGTCTCGCGGATGAGTTATGTGTGTATCAAACTCAATCGGGTAGTGAGACCATGAACATCAGATAGATCTCTAACCTTGCCTACTAAAAGCTGGAGGGATTTTGTTGGTCTCAAACATTTCATCTAGACACAACCATGAATCACATCGGAAACCAATGTCATCCAACAAGGCTGCAGATTACGAGAGTAGATAAAAGATAACTTAGACTAATTTATTGATAACATAATCCCGGAATAAATAAAAAAAGCAACGCTCTTTGTAATATGAACACCGCAGCCTGAGTGTCTATGATCAAAATACATCGAACGGGGCACCTGCATCTTTTACAAAAGGGTGTTGGCTTGACTATGTGGCAACGTATTGCCGCCCACGCTTAAAGATCAACAAGGATGCTGGAACTTGCAAGGCAGCAAAGGCAATCATAGCCTGAAACTGTACCGTATAGCTCTGGGCAAAGACGGTTCCTGCTGCCTTTTGAACCTTCTCTGGCAGGGTATCTAAAACACCAGCTCTTTCGATGACTTGATTGACCTGATCGGAGGGCAAATTATCGGGCAAATCGCTTTTGAGTTTCCCATAGAGGATGTTTGACGCAATGGCTAATCCAATCGCTCCGCCTAGGAATCGAGCTTGATTGAGAGCTCCCGTAGCCGTAGCTATGAGACATAAAGTTAGCAGAGTAATAAAGCCTCATCGGCTAAGAAGAAAAGAATTGGCTCGCACCTAAGTCTCTCGCTTCGACAATAAATGGCACAGCCAATGTCAAAATACCGATTGTAATTCCCACACCGGCACCAGCGATGGCTTCAAATCCATATCCCTTTGCAGGGTAAGATGAGTTCTCTGGGAGGGTTGTTAAAAGCGCCATGCCAATGGTGTGTAGCATAGATCCAATCAGCGAGAAGTAAACCACAGGTATTCGGAGTTTGCGGCTCGCTAGACATGTTACCATAGTAGCCACTGTTGCAACTGCGGCATATGGTATGATGTGAACACCAGCATCAAGGGGCTCGAGCCTGGTGATGAGCTGGAATCTTTGGGCCAGGTAGACGATGACTACATTCCAAGGGCAGCCGCAAAGGAAGTTGGTGCTGTAGCGGACCAAGTGTCAGCCAACATTCATAAAGAGATGTCTTTAACTTGACTTACGCCAACATTCCCATCCATGCTTTATTGTGGAAGAACCGCTTCGGAAATATCGGTTTCAGACCCGGTAGGTAACCAGGCATAAACCACTCCCATGCAAAGAATGCAACCCACATAACCCCAGAAAGAACTATCAAGGCAATGGCAGTTCCCGAAGACCAATCGAACTCAATATTTGTTTCGTTTAATACCGTGACCAGCAGAAGAGATGCACCCAGTAGCAGGAAGGAGCCTAGCGCATCGAGGCTTTGGAAGAGGGAATAGCTTGGTATTAGGGCAGATAATGGCTGTGGGTTTATGGTTCCAAAGTCCGAAGGCATTGCAATGATTAACATGAGGACTGCCAATCCTCCTGGTGGGAGGCTGTTTCGTAAAACTTTGAGTTAGCTTTCCTCCTTGGACAAATTAAAGATGGATCCTTCTATATAACTCACTTCAGATAAAAGGCCCACCTCCATGCCGAGTTCTCCGCCACAAGACCACCGAAAATGGGGCCAGTCAAGGACGCGAGCGCAATAGTAACAGCTAGTAAGGCGCCATAAAATGGAACCTTTGGTTTCGGAACCAGCTCATACATACATAAAATGGCAAGCGAGTAAATTCCTGCACCTCCTGCACCTTGTAGTGACCGAAATATGATCCTAATAGCATATCAGGTTGATGCCTTCACGATGTGAGACTCACTTACAAGTGGTTCATTTTTTGAGACAATCCGCATCCGAGAGAAAATGCCAAAAAGACAACAAGTGCAGCAACGAATGTTCTCTTGCGTCCAATAATATTGCTTATTTTGGTCCATATTGGCATGAAAGCTAGATCATTAGAATCTCAAACATTGTAGTTGGCGTCGGTACCCACCAGTGTATGTTGTCAAGAAGCCCGTAACAACCCAACTTGTTTTCTTGAAGCCGTCGAGATCATTTGTGATACTGACAAGCGAGGTGCTCACAATTGTCACTTCGAGGTTGACCAGATAGAGGCCGATGAGAAGACTAAATTGTAAAAATTCTGATCAGTGACGGATCTATAGCAAAAGGAGTGAAACATTATGTACCCTATTGTAATTACCCATAGCCTCCAACCTGTAGGATAATCGATCTGAATATCAGACCCATCCTCAAATAGGCGCCGATCCCGGGTAGCGCTATTGTCGTCGTTAGTTTTCTTTTCCATTCTGATATGCGATCTTTCAGCAAGTAGTATATTACAAAGGAATTTACCAGAAGACGAAAATATTTATACACATATCATTGAAATTGTTGATCTTGAATTCTCAACAAGAACATTACGCCATAGTTCTGTTTGGAGACAAACTTCCACAAAAGGCTAAGCACATCTTGTGCAACTGCATCCGGCATTTCAGGTGTCTAGCCCTGGGGAAGGGAAGCCCGGGATGACGCCCTATGAACGCCAATTACAGTGATAAGAAGGGGCTAGCCTCGAGACTTGATGTTATGTGTTACAAGGCGAAACTACCGACATTCCAGTCACGGTATCTGCTACGTATCCGTGCATGAAGGGCTAGAGATATCAGATCACCCAGATGACAAATCATACAGAATACAATCTTTGAAGACTCAAGTTAAATATGGCAATTGCCTTACAAATCCGATATTAATTAGGAATAAACTCATTAAACCATTGCTCTCGGACCTAGTCAGGACTCTGCAGGATATCAAGGACTAAAATTAGTTATATTCCGCAATCTTATATCAAGGGTGATTTTAGTGTTCTCATTGGGTCAGCTTGGTGTAACAACGACCAAACCCCGAGATTTTGCATGAACGTAAGGAACTCCATAATAGGTATTTCTTGCATGGGAGCCATATGAGCCATGTTCACGTCATTGACTGGTCTTCGTCTTGCATAGTTTTGCATTGCCTTGAAAGCTTGAAAAGAACCCCCTTGACTTCAAGTGTGTAACGCTGGTCATTCCCATGGATGATCTTCATCGGCGCACTCAACGTCAGAATGCGTAGTAGCGGAATTGGCACATATAACGACACCACCAAGATACTGCATGTTGTGAGCCGGAAGTGGGTTTGAGTATACTATCAACAAGCGTTTCCGGTGCTAATCTGTCACAACCTGTTTCGAGGGCGGAGTATGATACCTCCCCCCCATGTCTGCAACTGTTCTCGAAATGACTGCTCATCAAGTAGATCGTTCTGTCAATTGAAGTCGGAGAAAGATGTCTGGATCAGTATGTCGATGCAGGCTTGTGAAGGTAACTGGCGGACTAATTGCTTGTACTTTAGGCCGACATGACCGGGAAGCTGGGTTTGGTTTGATATATTCAAGCTGCCAAATTCGGTGTTTTCACCTTCGTGCAGCTCTGCGGATCGTAAAAGGCTCACGGAGTTGTAGTTGCCTCGGCTGGAATATTCCAATCCTTAATCTGGCCCTGTATCCCGTTGGCCAATTACGGCCCTGGTCTAGCAGATGGACTTGGCTCTATCGTATCAGTGCGGGTACTAGTCTCTGTAGAGTGTGTTATGGATGGGTAGTCATTCGGCTCAGCACTGTAAAAGCAAAGATTCTGTAGTCGCCAATCAGACTCAAGATCATCTTTGTGGCTAGAGGTAGTTATACCTGCTTCCCTCGTTTGACGCAGTTCAAATATGGATACTGGCGGTCGCACTAATTGAAATTTAGTACTTGCTTTGTTGAGGCATGCCCAGGGTTTTTACTTTTTGTTTACGCCGGTGGCATTCAGCACATGAAATGACAGTCCTCTTCCGTTTCTGTGGTCTATGCTGTTCTGATGATGAGCTGAACATGTTCTGGTTGCTTGTCTGATATTCGCTGGCTTTGTTGCCTCGCTAATCAGCCAATGTGATATCAGGCAATTCTAGACATGGATACATACCTTGCACGTTTTTGATTCGACCCGATGACATTGTTTGTGTTCGGGCTTATTGTAAATTGACCTTCTAGATATCCTTAAGGTGTGTAGGTCAACTGATCTAAGAGAAGATCGATAGTTCAAGGGCAGTATAATACGAGGTTGACAGCCTTAGCACCCATACTTCAGGCACCAAGGCGCCAACTTCCGATGTCCATATAATGATCTCGACTCTACGAAGAGAAGAAGGCAAAATTGAGCAGTCCAGCAATTCCATTCATGAAAGAAAATGATGAAAGAAACCCGAGTAAGCGAGTTTCTCGTCTCCTAAAAGAAAAGGAGGAAAAAGAAAGAAAGGCAAAGAAAATCAGTAACACGGTGTTGTTACATGCTGTCCTCCCAGAAATCACAAGCCAGACAAGATACCCGATCCGAATGCCAACCTGATTCCAAAAAGCAACAAATCATACTAAAAGAAACTGATATATAGACATGAACGTGAGAACATCCATCTTTATACATCTACTGTCGGTGGGCGCTTTTAGATAGACAGGTCACGGGCGTGCACCTTCTTGTCAGAGACAAGCCACTTCAGGGTAGAGCGGATGACGCTGACGAGCTGGTCGGCGCTCAGGGAGCTGAGGTAGGAAGAGTAGTCCGAGGTGGAGGTGGTGGTGGAGCTGGATCCCGAGGAGCTGGAGCCCGAGGAGCTGGTGCTGGAGGTGGGGACAGGCACAGCGGCAGCGGTGGTGGCGGTAGCCTCGGCGGAGGACTCGTTATCAGCGGCGGGGGCGGCGCTCTGGACAGACTGGCCAGGGGCGGTAACAGTGGCGGCGCTGACGGTCTGGATTGCAGGCTGGTCAGTAACCTGAGCAGTAGCATAATCGGTCACAGTGGCATCGGAGGGAGCGCCGAAGGGAGCGGCCTCAGTCGCACTGGGCTTGGAGATGGAGGGAATGGAAGGAGTGGCGCTGTGGGAGGGACGCTTGGTGCGGCTGTAGGCTGGGTGCGAGAACGAAGAGCTCGCGATGGGGATGGCACTCACGCTAGAGGTCGCGGCGGTAGTGGCAGCGGCAGTGGTAGCAGCGGCAGTGGTAGCGGCGCCGGAGCCGGAGCCGGAGGAGGCGCCAGTGTACAGAGCAGGACCGGGGATGGTGTAGGAGCTCATTGAGGTGTAGATGTTGACCAGAATGCCGGGGTCGGTGTTCTTGTACAGAGCGGTACCGAGAGTACCGCTGGGCTTATCGCTGCCACCGCCGGTGACCTTCACGTTGAGACACTGGGGGTAGTTCTGGGCGCCGTTGGAATTGCCGGCGGAGTGCAGGCCGATGATCTCGTGACGGAGGACGTAGTTGCCGGAAGCGATGGCACTGGGGATAGTGACAGTGCGGCTGTTATTGGCGGCGATGAGCTGGTCGGAAGCCCACTTGCCGGGGACAGAGCTGTCGTCAATCAGGCCACCCTCGTCGATCTTGAAGAACTCCAGAGTGGTCTTGTCGACGGAGGAGCAGTCACCGTTACAGTTAGCCAGGTAGGTGATGACGGGACCGTGGTGGCTCTCGGGCCAGTCAGTCCACTGGAGCTCAACGGAGCCACCAGCCTTGACCTCGGCGGAGATGGCACCGGGAGTGGCATCCTTGTGACAGATAATGTCAGAGCTGGAGTAGGAGGAGCCGTCGACGAAGCCGTTGTCGGTGGCTTTCTCTGCCCATCCAATGTTCTCGGGAACACTGCTCATGTAGTTGTAGGTGTCAACGAGGAAACCAGTGTAGTAGGTGCCGTCAACAACAGCACCAGAAACGTAGCCGTGGCCAGCGACCATGGAGGCCGAGGCGAGGACGAGACCAGCAATTTTAGACACAGACATCTTGAAGAAGTTGTGATGAAAAGAACGCACAGCGTTTGGATCGTAGGATCAAAGAGGAAGAGAAAAGAATGCAAAGGGGACTTCAGTCAATGAAGTCAACCCAAAAAGAGAGCGGAAGGTACTGGACCTTGGAAAGAATGGAATGCAAAGGACTGATGGATTGGGAAATCAACTCAGACGGTGATGCCAGGGCCTTATATGTTCGTCCTCGTCGGCATCATAGCTCTTTTCGGTATGGGAGGAGCCGCACCGTTTCCCCTGCCAAGAGAAGCCCATCACGGAGCACACCAATAGTTCAGGTATTTCTGGTATGGCATAGGTTTCCGCCGCTCTGCTTCGGCGCCCATAGGTGGAGAATCTTCAGCGACTGAGACACCAGCAGCTCCGTGGTGAGAGATAGATGAAGCAAATTGATCTCTAACGCGCTGGGTGTTCTCATGATGCGCTAAAAAGAAAATTAATTAAGGTATGCCCCATCGGACAAATGAAAGGAGGGCGTTTGACACTGAGCCCTGCTCTAGTTGGTGCCTGTCGATCCCTGGGCGGTTGTCTGCGACACACCAAGTTTCATTCTGACAGTGCCTAGGGCATTTGCTCCCCTATTTGGAAGTGATCGATCACTGAATCAATTGACATCTCCGCCATGCCAAGAAGCAATCCGAGCTCCTGCGCTTCGGAATAATCTCGTTGAATTCCAGGAAAAGCTTGGTCAATAGAATCATGATTCAGGCGACATTTCTCCACTAGGTAGTCGGGCAGGCCTAGGCTGTCTAAAGTACTGATCAAGTTGAAACAGGGAGAAGTTGTGATGGGAAAGTACTACGAGGTGGCAGAATCGAATATCTGGGCCCGGGCCACTCAACGGCTTTTTTCTCCTTTACAATCCAACCGGTTGATTTCACCTTTCAGATCTCAAAGTCTACGCCTGTTTTCTCCGAGTCGAAGAACTTTTAGCTAGCCCCTTTGGCTGAGGGGTATCGGCGCTTATCCGCATTTATTCTGAAACACCCGGCACACCGACCCGCACGGAGTCCGAGAGCGGCCTTTGACCTGCATCGGTGACAGCGGGCTTCAACTCGGAGACGTTAATCTTATCCAGGGGCTTACGGCTAGCTTCTTGCACATTGAGCCTGGAGTTGAGGACTGAGGCGCTAATCGTTTATTTCCCAGATTGAAGCCAAGAGATTAAACATTATTCAAAAGACCAAGTGCATGCTGACTGCGATGTCTTGCCATGCCTGGAATATCTCGCTTCCAAGAAACCTTGGACATAGGCTAAGATATATTCTAGGCACGCCTTTCACAAATTCAACGGGGGACAGTGCGCATCACTATCCGGGCAATCACCCATGCAAATCTAGATGCACCGAATGGAATGTCAGTCTCACCCGTGTGGCTGTCCGCTGAACTCGATCTCAATCTGCAGGCTCGCCTCCAAGGTCACGATAATCCCTCGGGTATGTCTTTGACCCGATCTCTACATATACAGATTGCGCCATATACGGGATGTGCCATGTTGAGGGCTGTGCGCAACTACGCCGACATGGGCTCGGAAGATCATGGCGATCATATCCACGTAATGTGTAGTAGGGGTTGATAAGGTGGTCATCCAAGGTGTACTGCAGCTAACTGGGTTACTCAATGGTCGGACAGCCGATAGCGGCAACACTTGGCAAGGGCATGATAGCCCGACGTCTGTGGGGTACTTGGCAAAATACGTGATGCATGTATTCCGAGCAGTCGGGTCATTCCCAGAAGGGCCCGCTACGTTGAAGAGAAAAGAGAGGGCCAACAAGAAAGAATGTGCGGTGACACAAGGAAGAGGTTGGAATGGCTGGAAGTATGTAGAGAGATGGAGAGAAGGAGAAGATCAGTGATGCTGTCAAACGGCAGTTGACCAATCAGAGACGGAGCACAGCGTATTATGTGTACCGAATTGGTCACCGCTTTTGGTGCCTGAGGTGTTGACCTTATAGTAGTTCAAAGATAACATTTCAACGTCGAGTCATCCTGTTTTTGGTTATTCTGACTTTGCTAAACCGATTATATTCAGCTCTTCATTGCCCGATATTCATATAACCTTATATAATCCCACACTGGCGGAGATCCTCTATTGGCGTTCTGCCGGGCCGGATCGGCACTCACAGTTTTCCCGCTCTCCTTTCCTCCACAAGTCCAGGCAGTGACTTCCCCCAAACAACCAACCCCATATCTCACCACTTCCAACCCCTCGTGCGCAGGGCCATGGTCTCTGGGGACTGGTCCTGTTAGAATCCGTGTCAGCATTATATCTCGTGTCCCGCACGCGAGTCAGCCTCCGGGAACGGTGAAGGTGGCGGGTGAATTCAACTCCTGTGACTTTCGAGATTCAATTTGAGAACAGCGAAGCATGGGACCATCGCAGGCACCCTCTTTACCCGCATTCCCTTCCTTGGACCCGGTCATCATGGACGACGACATGGAGTCCACCTTCCGCAACGCCAACATGGACTTCCTCGACCCAACAAACCTCGAAATGTCGACTGAAAGCGCTGGCGGAGACTTTGATGATTTGTTTGCCCGGGCGACTACTTCCCGTCCGAACGGTGCCTCGGGGCCCTCGAAACCATACCATGATCAAAACCCCCTGAGGCAGGTGTCTGCTTTTGCAGCAGACTCGCCAGTCGAATCGCCTGATGATTCGAGTCGCAGTTCTTCGTCCGAATCCCCGCGAAATCACGTACGACAAACCTCGATTGCGTCTACAAACTCCGCCGCTCATAGTGAGAATCCCATGGTTTCTATCAACTACTCAGATGACTGGATGCGCCCGGAATTATCGTCTGTCAAGGAGGAATCACCGTTCAATATTGAGCCTTCGTTTCCTATGGATGGCGGATTTTCCATGGATCCCGACATCGAGGTCAGCAACAAGGCGATGGATGCGGCCTTTGATTTTGAAAGTGCGGCCAGCAGCCCCAGTCCATTGAAGTCAGACCATGCCTCACTACCGAGACCGCAAAAACGCCCCAAATCTCAGCTCTGGAGTCCCTCGAGTAACCACGCTGGGCTTTCATCCGATGCTGCACCCCCGGTGAGTCACCGAATCTCTGCTTTTGTCGAAACAACGCTAATATGTCCCAGGTTCATCCGCCGGGATCCCCGTTCTTCGCTTTTGGACTCAATGGCCAGTCACCGTACTCAAACAACATGCATCATGATTTGGAAGGGTCGGTTCCGCAATGGGGTGGACAGTCGCCTTCATCGATTCTAGAAGAAAGTTTCGGAGGCATCAATATGAACCGGCAATCGCCTCTCAACGCCTCCCTTTCGCCCAGCATGAATTTCGGTTCACCTGCAGCATACCCGTTCCCTGTCAACTTCTCTTCCTCCCCAGGGCAGCCTCCGACGAACTCCGCTACTCCCCTGCAAACCGTTCTTACGGTGCATCCAACTTCCCTCAAATCGCGTGTCGAAACTCAGATCCCAATCCGGTTGACCCTCTCTCCACTTCCCGCTGGCGTTAAGAAACTCCGTCTTCCCTCGCACACCATCTCGAAACTCAAATTTCTCGCTCCTCCTGCCACCGAACCCCTCAACGATACCCTCCAATTACACACAAGTCTCGTTTGCACAAGCGCTATGCAGGATCGAGAAAAGATGAAGCGGGCATTCGCAAGGACAAGGGGTGGGCATTACCAACCCACTTCGGATGATGAACGTCCGTTAGACGGAGGCGACGTGAAGATCTGCAGCGGATGTATTCAGCGAGAACGCAAACGTGCCTCCCGAAAGAAGCAACGGAAGCCCGAAGAGGACGAGCTGTTCCAGAAGGATGAGGAGAAGCGGGTCATCGTCTTCAACACGAGCGAAATCAAGGAGTGGACGGAGCCATCGAAGAACCCCAATGGCAGCTATGGTGACATGGCATCAGTACCGCCAGGATCTATGCAGGTGGAGTTGCCCATGCGAATCGCTTGTTACTGTCGGCACCAAAACGAAAAGCTCGGATTCCAGGTCATCTTCACTGTTAAAGATCACGCGGACAATGTGGTTGCTCAGGCCATCACCAATTCGATTATGATCACCGACGACCACAAGACGCAGGCTCCTTCGGCACCCGTGCTAACAGGTCCTTCACCCTCGCTTGCTGATGGGACACAACTTCCAGGTGTCGGAGTGTTCCCCTCAGGGCAAAACCTCGAGAACGGGAAGAGTCCTTTCGCTGCGCCTCAATCACCGACCGATCTGCAAGGTCTTCAGCAAAGGTTCAACTCTCAATATCAACTCACGCCTAGTTCATTTGCGGCTCAAGGTTCAGCAAATGGGACCCCCGCGAGCTCGCAACCATCTCGAAGCCTTTCTAGAGGAGCTTCACCATCTGAGCTCCAAGGACCCCAAAGCAAACGACGCAAACACAGCAGCTCCGGAAGGCTGCCATCAGAACTGACGATGACACGTCTTGAGACCCCTCAATCATCCGCGTCAGCAATGAACAATGCCGCACAACTCGCAGCTGCTCGTGGTTATGCTTCGCCAACGGAACGGCCCTTCGTCACACCGTCTTCCATGAACGGCCAGTATGGAAACGGCCCCCCGACTCCCAACCAAAGCAATGACAACAACCCCTTCTTCAATCCCACTCCTGCCCAGCGACAGAGCTTGGATAGTCTGGCTCAAGTCCCCATGGGGTCTGCGCCTAACTCCGCCCATCCTAGTCGTCCCGGGACACCGGGTGGCTCAAATCGCAATGGCTTCCAGGATCCAAACCTTGCTCTCGCGCTTGGTGCGAACTCATCAAGCCAGGTTTGGCCTCCCCTCAACAACGCTCCCAATCGATTGCCATCGGTCATACACAAGCTGGTGCCTGCCGAGGGCTCAATCACAGGAGGTACTGAAGTTACTTTGCTAGGTAGCGGATTTTATCCTGGTATGGAGGTTGTTTTTGGTGACACCCTCGCAACAACCACCACATTTTGGGGTGACAAGTGTCTCAACTGCCTGACTCCTCCTGCTCTTCAGCCGGGGTTGGTGTCAGTAGTCTTCAAGCACGAGCACCCGACGTTTGGTCAAATTCAGCAGCCTCAGCCCCTTATGCCGAAGCAGCAGCTGTTCTTCCGCTATGTGGATGACCGTGAACTTCAAATGTACCGGTTGGCACTCAACATCCTTGGTCAGAAGTTGGGTAGCCAGGCGGACGCATTCCAAACGGCTCAGCAGATTATGGGCAGCGATCCAAATGCCTTCTTCAACATGCAGGGTGACATGCAAGGCAACTCCTCTGGTGGTCAGCAGCGTCAAGTCCCCGGACTTGAAAACCAGGGCAAGCATAGCGATCTTGACTCCAAGATGCTGACCTATTTGGAATTCATTGATCTGGACGACAGCCCACGTTCCCCGCGGTACAACGCTCGCAGTGCAACAGGACAGAGTCTTCTCCACTTCGCTGCTTCTTTGGGGCTGACTAGGTTTGTTGCTGGGCTTTTGGCCCGGGGTGCCAACCCTGATGTTCAGGACAACACCGGCAACGCGCCTATGCATCTGGCTGCACTTAATGGCCATGCTCATATCGTCAATCGTCTGCGTCTGGCCGGTGCCAACGCCAATGCCCGCAGCGTCCGTGGCTTCACTGCCGCTGACCTGGCGACAACCCTTGCAACACACCAAGCTGCCCTTCTTCCGTCCCGTCACCACCGGTCTCGCAGTGTTGGCTCCCTCACATCCCGCCGCCGGCATAGTAGTTCAGCTTCGCTCAGCTCTATGTGGGAGGTTTCATCGGCTTCTGGCTCTCTTGGTCATGCTGTTGACGATTCAGAGGACCTTGACGATGAGGATGATTCCAGCGATGATTCCGACTCTAACTCTCTCCACTTCACCTCTTCTCGTCGTTCAAGTATGCATCAAGATGTCATCCCTCCTGTCATAGATACCAGCGAACAAAACGCTGCGCCTGGCCATGCGCGAGGCTTCGCTCCGCCGGCCCCTCTAGTCGCCTGGCGTGATCAGCTGGCTATCCAAATCAATCAATTCCAACACAGCGTGGCGAATGCCTGGCCCACCATTCCGGCTCTACCCCAGATGCCTGCAATGCCTGCAATGCCTGCAATGCCTGCAATACCCGCAATCCCTGCCCTTCCGGACTATCAAGGCCAAGGAATGATGCGCCGCATCACCAACCTTGTTCCTCACCGACCTGCCGCTCGCGATGGCTGGTGGGATTACCTCAAGGGTAACTCGGCACCAAGCCCAACCCAACCACCGTCATACGATGAGCTGTACCCTCACCCAGAGCACAATGCCGAAGAGTCTGACATGAAGAAGTCATCTCTCCTTCGCGCCGCAACCGAGGCAGCTCTGGATCAACACTTTGAGGCCCAAAGCGAGTTCCAAAGCAATGCTACTACCGTGGCATCATCATCATTTGCGTCAGCTTCTGTTCCCGCCTTGGCTCAGACAGACAAGGAAGAGCTCAAGGAGGTTACGATTGGACGCAAGGTCATCTCGCGTGAGCAACAGAAGCATCTCCGAGAACAACAGGCCCGACGAATGAAGGGTCTAGGCAGCGACCGCAACCTCTACTTCATTTGGGTAAGCAACTGCACCCCCTTTTTACCTTCCATACTGTTCTCGTTCATAACTAACGTATCTAACTAGATTCCCCTTCTTCTTTTGGTTATCTGCGCGTGGGTACGCAATTACGTACCCGGAATCTGGCAAGGCGTCACGGACAGCTTTGAATTTGTGAAGGCTCGCTCTACACAGCGGGCTGTGGAAATGGGCATTTAGGTTACCGGTAGTATTTTTTTCTTTTTTTCTTTGTGCTCTCCCCTACTTTTTTGGGTCATATATCTCTATGGCGTTGTCTCTGAGCGACTGCACTTTTATAACTTAAACCGTTGGATTGTCTGTTATCTCTTTTTTTTCCTTTGTCTCCTTTCTGTTTATAATGACGCGGCATGACTATGTTGCACCTCTTAGTGGCATCCAAATGTACACATCTAGTATAAGACTTGTTTTACCTCTCATTTCTGTTATTTTCTTGCTACTGCTGTGGGTGCTCCACTCTAGAAAAGCATTGTGGGCAGTATTTAGGACAGTTATGCTGTTATAGCTTGTTATGCAGTTCTTTATAGACGCAACGCCGGTTGGTACCTAGAAATATATTAGTATTTAATTGCCAGTAGACATTTTCCTATCAAATTCGCCGGCCTTCGTTATTCCGCATTAGATTGAACCCTTCTATCCGTAATCCTAATCTTCTATGGTGCTCTGGGCTGTATGGACTAATACGGGTTCACGAGCAACAGGCACATGTAACGCCTACTGTTAGCACGATTCCTGGTATGCTTCCAAAGGATACTTCAAGTCTATCCACCTAACATTAATTGCTGTATTGTAGGCATGTCTCTAACAATGCACTGATGTTGCTCGGGTTCATCCGAGAGGTGCCCTAATTTCCCCGCACTGATAGGGACAAGCCGAGTCTCACCTCCAATGGTTACTCTCAGTCTCAAAGTATGGTAAGAATTTGTGCGTAAGTGGGATGAGCCTTGCTAGAAGTTGCGTCTTTATAAGCCTGTTTCCCCTATCTGATAGAGTAATAATGATTCATTCCTTCCTGCAACGAATGTCCAATTTTACCAAGAGACATGGTATCACCAAATTCAGAATCAATTCTCACAATTGCAGATCTACGGGATGCTGCTTCCTCAAAGCTACCAAAGAAATTTCGAGGCAAGTTGCATCATTTCTTCCTATGTTAGTCTTCGCTCACACATTAGCCAGATTACTACAATGAAGGGGCTGGGGATATGATCACGTATGTATATTAGCCATCACTAGAGATATGATAGAGAATACATACATCCTAAGCTGACAATATAGCCTCCGTGACAATGAGAAAGCGTTTGACCGGTTCAAGATTCGACCACGCATTCTTTCTGATGTGTCTAGTGTTGACACATCTACAACCATCTTGGGTGAAAAGGTAAGCTTTTGGCCCTTCAAGTAGTTTTGCTAATCCCAATCAATGAGCCTAGGTCTCCTTGCCGATAGGATTCTCACCAGCAGCGATGCATGGTCTGGCGCACCCAGACGGCGAAAAAGCTACCTCTCGCGCGGCCAGTACCTTGAATATTCCAATGGGCCTATCAACATATTCAACGGTATTATTGGAAGATGTCATTGTCGAGCGTCAGCAAGGCCAGAAGAACCCTTATGCATTTCAGCTGAGCGTGGTCAAGGATCGAGACGTGACTCTTCAATGGATAAAGCGAGCTGAAAGTGAGGCATTTTTCCCGAATCAAAGTATATGTCCTCTAATGATTGCGTCCTTTCTTGACTAGATTGTGGATACAAGGCTATCTTTATGACTGTTGATGCGCCAGTTCTGGGAAATCGCCTAGGCGAGAGACGAAATAAATTCGAGCTCCCTCCCCATCTATCTCTTCCAAATTTGCCAGCTGATAGGGGTCGCTCCCATCATTACTCTGGTCGTGATGCCAGTAGTTCGTGGGACACGACTATACCATGGATCAAGGCGAATACAAACTTGGAAATTTGGCTAAAAGGCAGTGAGTGTAATTTTTAGGTATATAAACACTGTGATGCTAATCAGATCAGTCTACTGTCCAGATGACGTCTTGAAAGCAATTCATTACGGACTTGATGGTGTGATCATCTCAAACCATGGAGGACGACAATTAGATGGTGTTCCAGCAACAATCGACGCCTTAGCTGAATGTGCTCCGGTGGCAAAAGGTCGCATTAAAATAGCGATTGATAGTGGAATTCGCCGGGGGGCGGATATATTTCGGGCTTTGGCTTTGGGTGCAGATTTCTGCTTTATTGGAAGAATTCCTATTTGGGGCCTTGCGGTAGGTGGTACCTAGTGATAAAGGTCACTGATTTAAGCTAACGAGCATGATGTACCTACAGTATGATGGACAAAACGGAGTTGAGCTTGCGGTGAAAATCCTCGAGGAAGAGCTTCGCACCACTATGGCACTTGCAGGGTGAGCAATCCCGTTGATTATTCCACAATCTGTTACTTACTATGAGAAAGTTGTGCTTCATTGAATGAGATCTCTAGACATCATTTGTCGGTGATTGGAGCAAATGGGCTCTTGAGTAAACTTTGAGTGTAGGTCAGGTATTCTATAGTTACCTTAAAATTGACATCGTAACGTTGACTTTTTATACTTACCTTCGTATTGAGTTAGTTCATACCCTATTATCGTATGTTTTATTGTACATATTTTACCCGATTGAGTGACTATACCATCACTCCGTAAGGCTGTTATATTGTTTTAGACAACTTTACCTACGCAAGCACTAGCAAGGATTAAATGATTGCATGAGAGATGTCCCTTTGAAACAGACAAATTGTAACTAAGCGCCGTATCTTTTATTAAATTGAATCTGAACATCAGCCTCGGGTTGCTCTCATACTTGTTAAGGAGAATGCCAAGACGCGGCCGTGCGTCGCAGTCAACACATGTCTCCGAACACCTCACCCCGCGACATTTCTCCGAGCTCATTGGAGTCGCGTGAAAGCTCCCTTATTCTTTCAATTTCGAGCGGAATGCCCCGGAGATAATCGGTCACTTCCCGAACTCGCCTGGGAAATCATGGACCCTTCACAGGCAGCTTCAAGCAATGTAACGGGTACGATCACGAACCGTGTATGATTGAGACAAAAGCTCGTACTAACCAAGACCAACTCACAGTTGAATACACGGATCCCTCGGGCCTGTTTCCGCTTGTAAAACCAGTTATCGAAGCAAAACTACCACTAAAGAACCTCCACTGGAAATCACCAACGCGCCCCGTACGGTCAATCGAGTCGCTCCGCATTGGCTTCACGCCCGCGCAAGAATCGAACGAGCGAAAGTCCTCTAGCGATGCTGTTCCAGGCGCAGTCACCCACCGCCGGCATCAGATCCCCGGTTTACGGCAAACACCATACCTGAAAGTTTACCTCCTCCGCTGCGACGACAACGAGACCTACAAGGCGACGGCACGACGGAACCTGCGTGAATGGATTAAAGCCAATGCATCATCCCAAAGCTCGCAATATGCGACTACCAGCCAGGAAAAGCACGATGCGTTCGAGTGGTTGATCCTACACGTGGTGCCGGATGGTGACGCTGCGGAGAAGGCAGCCGCATCTACCTCCAAATGGGGCCGAGGCTCAAGTACGGTGCTGGAGAAGGCGAAAGCCGACTTCAATGGGTCGTCCAAGTCTGCTGTAGACCGGGTGGCTCAATTGCGTCTTCCAAAGCAGGGGACCAAGTCCCCTGAATTGGCTGAGCAATTGGAGGACCTGATTGATAAGATGAAGAATGGCATTTTGGCATCTTTCGATCTTCGTGTGGCCCAATATGAGGAAGACATCAAGGAGAAAGACTCTCAGCGTAGTCTGCCTGGGTGGAACTTTTGCACGTTCTTCATCCTTAAAGAAGGTCTGGCCCGGGGTTTCGAGAATGTGGGCCTCTTCGAAGATGCATTGGCCGGGTATGATGAGCTGGCAGTTGGTTTGGATGCAGCTATCCGAGATCAACTCGAGGGAAGTGGTGATCAGCATGGTGGTGCACTCTTGACAATCAGTAAGAACTGGACAGAGATGGCCAAGAAGGCATTGGAGACTGGTGCTTCCGAGGAAAGCAATGCCAGTCCATTCTCAGAGCTTCAGCCGGATGAATTTCCCCTCAACGCCAATAAGATGCCTTACCGGGAAATGATCCTAGCAAGCGACATCTCCATCTTCGACTTCCGCACATACATCTTCGCTCGGCAACTGACTCTACTACTCCGAGCTGCACGCGCGCCCTCGCTTCTTGGGAGTGAGACTGCGGCAGACGGCAAGTCAGGCAAAACGGACAAGAAAAAGCCCGAAAATCTCATTCTGCTATCTGAGATTTGTAGAAGATCGACAGAATTCATCGGTCTGGCTGCGCGTACGCTCCGCTTTGATCTCGAATCCGGGCTGGCGGACGTAGTCCATGATGACAAGGCCGATGTTATCAACAACCTCGTTTCCTCGTGGGCATTCTCAGCAGCTTTCCAGATATTGAGTCAGACCTTCACGCCGACTCTCAGTTTGCCCGAGTCTTCTCTGCATGCCGTCGCCCAAAGCAGTGAAGCGGCCGCTGCCACGGCTGCGGATGCACAAGCCAACGTACCTCGTCGCACAAGCTCACTTATAGGCCCGGCGGGTGGCCGCCCTGGTCGACCAGTAACTCAGGATATTTCTGATAATGTGGGCTTGCTGCAGCGTCGTTCCACTATGGACCATCCTAAACCTGCGCCTGTTCCTACACAAAAGACCGGTTCTGAACAGTTGTCATCCGGCAGAGCGGAGTTGCTCTTACTTGCACGACGCTCGCTGGAAGAAATTGCTCGGAGACGGGGTTGGGCTGAAAAGTGGAACGATCTTGGTCTTCTCTTTGATGACCAATATCGTTCTGGGGCGAGTGCTTTGGCCGAGGTCTCATTAGATGACGATACTTCCAAGCCAGAGGCAGAGTCCAAATCCAAGCAGTCATCGCTTGTAGGCATTGAACTTCCTGGTCTCAAAGCTGCATTGGTTTCAAAAGATGCGTTCTTATTGGTCTACGAGGACCTTACAGACCGATTGATCCGTCACCACATGGCAGCCAATCGCGTCAATTCCGCCGAATCAGCCCTCGCTGAAATCGCCATCCTACGATACCGGCAGAAGGATTACGAGGCAGCAGCTTCTTATTTCCATCGGATGGCTCCATTCTATGGCACCAAATTATGGGTTATCTTGGAGGGGAGTATGTTGGAACTCCATGCTCGATGCCTGAAGGAACTCAAGCGGAACGAAGACTATGTTCGCATGATGCTACGGTTACTTTCCAAATTTGCTTCATATGTGCAGGCGCAATTGTCAGTGAGGGAGAAGACCCTAGTCAATTCGATTCCGTCGACTGAGCAGGAATTGTTGGATGGGCATGTCAGTGATCTGTTTGAGGCGTCTGGAGCTCTTCAGAAAGATATTCCGGCTTCTTTGGCAGACTTCTTCGCCGATCTTAAGGTCGACCCAGCTATTCGATTGTTTGATAATCGGGATGGTTTCCAGATTCAACTATCCCTGCGGTTCTTGCTAGGCCAGCAGATTGAAGTCGATTCTCTCAAGGCTCGTCTAGTTAGCGCAAACACCTCCCAGAACTCCGAACATTGGATTGAGAGCTCTGCTAAGTTCGTGGTGAAGTCATCATCGACGCAGATTCTGATAGACTCTTCGGTGAGTACTTCGTTTGACCTTTGCTGTTGATAACTAACACATGACCAGACCACACTGCAAGGCAAATACTTCGTCGACCGTCTCGAGCTAAGGGCCGGCAACCTTGTCTTCCATTTCAACAGCGGACAGGACTCTTCGCTCCCTGTTGGCTTCCGGGAAACGGAAGATGCAGAGGAAGCGGATGAGCGTCCATACATTTATTGTTACCCTCCAGCGGATGGCCTCCAGGCGAAGATTGTATCGCCACACTTGATCAATCTAGAATCGATGCGTACGCTCGAGCTGGAACTTGATAGCGGACGAAATGATATCAAGAGCGGCACAATTCGCGTCCGACCAGCCACTGCAGGTCTGCGGCTACGTCTCACAGAGACAGAAGTTGTGGATGGAAAACTCGAGGTGGACGCCAACTCTGAGTCTGGTATCATCGAGTTCACGCAATTGGCGGCACATTCATTCGTCCGGCTCCGCATTCCCTACACCGTGGAAGAGGCATTTACAACACTCTCAGCGCGAGTAGAGATTGGATACGAGACCGAGCAAGGCCGATTTGCTTCGTCTTCATCATTCAATGTTCTTTCTACGCTGCCGATCTCAGTCAATGTTCAGGATATCTTCAAGGACGAGCTGTTGTTCTCGCGGTTCACCATCAGTCCTGCCATTCAGATTCCACTCCGTATCACAAACTGCAGTTTGCCCAGCTCCGACATTTACAACGTGGAATCCGGTATCAATGGTCCTGTCGCCCTTGACGTCTTTCCAAAGCAGCCTGCCTCACTTCTCTACAAGATCCGCCCCAATGAAGGCGATGCTGCTAAATCAGCCCCTCGCAGCCTGCGTCTTAGCATTGATTTCACCTGTGTGGACGATGAATGCCTCGATGCAATTGAGAAGCGGTTCGCTGCCTCAATAAACTCGAGCCCATTCCGCCAGTACGCAGCGTTGCTTACGTCGCATATGGTCAGCAACTTCCGCGCGCAGTTGACCACCCATGATATGGAGGCCATTGGACTCATCCGGGAGGCAGACATGCTACCGTACCAGAGCCTGCGATGGGATGACTTACTAGGAGCACTGAAGGAACCCGCCGATGGTGTGCGACAGTGGCTAAAGGAATGGCACAAGGTAAGACACATCCCAAACTACCATCCCTCCTCCTATACTATACTAACATCCAACAGACCAACCCAGTCATCCACCTCCCCAGCCAACCAACAATCCCAACCCGACGCATAATAATCCCAGTCGACGTCCCAGAGATCCAAGTAGTCCACACAGCAGAACTTCAACCAAACCTCCAACCAGGACCGTCAACCCACGCCGCCGTCGGCCAAATGATAACAGCCGAACTAATCATCAGCCACACGCGGCGCTGGTCCTCCCCCGCAACCCGCGAAACCGCAGACCAACCCCTCGAATGCTCCTACGAGCTACACGCCAACCCAGACCAATGGCAAATCGGCGGTCGGCGCCGCGGAAACTTCCTCGCCCACGACGGCGAATCAACCCGCTTCACCGTTCTCCTTTTACCCCAAAAACCCGGTCATCTCCTCCTCCCAGGTCTGGAGATTCGTACTTTCTTCCCGGCCCCGGCGCAGACGCAGGCTCAGCTGCCTACTTCGCCTCCTGCGGCGGATCCGGCTGCCCCGTCTCGCCGCTCGGTTCCCTGTGAGGTTGATTATCGGAATCATGGGGAGGCGATCCTTGTTCTTCCTGATTTGAGGAAGACTACGGTTAGTCTTAGTGCTTCTGGGGGTCATGCTGGTGCTGGGTCGTGGTTGATTGATTCGGAGCGGAGGGCTGAGGTTAGTTGATGGGTGATGGTGGTGGGGGTGGTGATAGTGTGATTGGTGTATGTATAGTGCTGTAGATCTACGAGTGATGAACCATTCATATCCATGTCCAATTATCCCAACATCCATGTCCATGTGTCCCCCATACACATGGTTCCCTTGTATAGTGGATCCGATAAGATCTTATCTAAGGTGGCGAACCTAAGAAATTTAAAGATGTTTGCACTGTTTGTGTCTGTGTTATTTTCACTTGTGGGGCCCAACAAAATCCCAACAAGCGCTTTGGGATACGTTTTTTACCCCTTGCTCTTCCATTGTCCATTATCTTTGCTGTTATTCTTATATTCTATATTGTCTGTATACTCAAGTATAAACTCACCGTGTTTCTATCTCATCATATAAAAACAACCCAATCTGTTGAGTAGTATAACTACAGTATCACGAAGTATAACTTAACTGTGGATACTCCATACATCGTACAAGAGTTGGGAATCGAAAATGGTATCACATGCTTACGGAGCGAACGGAGGGAGTATACGGAGCCCAGACCAAACTAAAGCAACACTTGCCACATTGCATTGGCAAAATCACTCGCAGGCCAATCCGCTCACGTCGAAAGGGTACACAAGGACGACCCGAGGTATGTCGATCGATCCACATGTGCTGGTGACGGGCTCACCGTCAAGGGGGCGCATGTGAAGCGGTAATAGGTCAAAGTCAAAGGCAAAGTCCGCTACTGTAGTCAAGATAAGTCAGGCCACCGATTCATCTCCGAGAAAAATAAAATTCCAAATAAAAAAATCAAGTGACAATTGAAATTTACAAGAGGCAAAAGTGTTGGGGCCCCGAATGGGTTTAGGTAAGGAAGGCGGTGGCTCCGTGAAGAACCCCCTTCGAGAATGTACGGAGTTGCCGTACTGGAGGGAATACTGAGAAGTGGGAAAAATTGGTGTATCAGCTGTAGAGCTGAAGTGGCGTTGCTGAATTGTGAGATCTCGCCAGTTAGAAGTCTGTAAAGTCGGCACATGGAGTCCAAAAGAAAAGATCGACTCTCGAGGAGTTCGTGCAGATGGTTTGACGGGGTGAAATTGCAATACCACAAAATACAGTCCCGCCCATAGTGAAGACTGCGGGGAGGTATTGAAAAATACACCCACCCCCTTCCCATTTTATCCTTTGCTTTCCTTTTTCTCTTCAGTTGTCAATTGTCAGCTCTCTCGTTGGTCTTTGGGGTGCTTTGTGTTTTGCTGGTTTATTAACCCCTCGTTTTCCTTTCTCTGGTGCCTTTCTAGATCTTAATCTCGTGAGTGAGCCCGCTGGACGCTAGCTGAACATTGTCTGACTGTCCCCAGCATTTGTCCCCGACGCTTTTGCTTTTGGGTTAAAGGGAATCTTCCTTTCATTGTCGTTCCTATATACCGTCAATAACTTCAGCAATGTCGTCCACTGCTGTCCCCAAGCGCGTTGCGCTTCATCGCAACCCCACCGAGTCCTCCGCGGCCAGCTCGGTCTCACCCTCACCTTTCGACAGCCCGCGCCAGTCGCCCTCGTCGACCTCTCTGTCGTCCATGGCCTCGGAAATGGAGGCCAGCAAGATGCTCGACACATATGGCAACGAGTTCAAGATCCCCGACTATACCATCAAGCAGATCCGCGATGCCATCCCCGCTCACTGCTTCCACCGCTCCGCTGCGACCAGTCTGTACTATGTCTTCCGTGACATGGCCATCCTGGCCTCGGTCTTTTACCTTTTCCACAACTATGTCACCCCTCAGACAGTGCCTTTCCTCCCCGCCCGCGTGGCCCTCTGGACCGTGTACACCATCGTCCAGGGTCTCGTCGGCACCGGCGTGTGGGTTCTCGCCCACGAGTGCGGCCACCAGGCCTTTTCCCCCTCCAAGGTCCTGAACGACACCGTCGGCTGGATCTGCCACTCCCTCCTGCTGGTCCCGTACTTCTCGTGGAAGATCTCCCACGGAAAGCACCACAAGGCCACTGGCAACCTCGCCCGTGACATGGTCTTCGTCCCCAAGACCCGTGAGCAGTACGCCTCCCGCGTCGGCCGCACCCTGCACGAGCTCGGCGAGCTCATGGAGGAGACCCCCATCCTGACTGCCTCCAACCTCCTGCTCCAGCAGCTGTTCGGATGGCCCATGTACCTCCTCACCAACGTCACCGGCCACAACAACCACGCCAAGCAGCCGGAGGGCCGCGGCAAGGGCAAGTCCAACGGCTGGTTCGGTGGTGTCAACCACTTCAACCCTGCCAGCCCTCTGTACGAGGCCAAGGACGCCAAGCTGATTGCCCTGAGTGACCTTGGTCTCTTCCTCACCGGCACCGCCCTGTACTTCATCGGCAGCAACTTCGGCTGGCTCAACCTGCTGGTCTGGTACGGTATCCCATACCTGTGGGTAAACCACTGGCTCGGTAAGTTTTCTTGTGAGTGGTGTCTTGTGTGACACCACTCCCACATCCTAGAAAGAGAATATTAGCTAACAACTCTCATCAGTTGCCATCACCTTCCTCCAGCACACCGATCCCTCCCTCCCCCACTACCAACCCGAAGTCTGGAACTTCGCCCGCGGCGCCGCTGCAACCATCGACCGCGACTTCGGCTTCGTTGGCCGCCACATCTTCCACGGCATCATCGAAACCCACGTGCTGCACCACTACGTCAGCAACATCCCCTTCTACAACGCCGACGAGGCCAGCGATGCCATCAAGGACGTCATGGGCGATCACTATCGCACCGAAGCCCACACCGGCTGGACTGGTTTCTTCAAGGCCCTCTGGACCTCCGCCCGCGTCTGCCACTTCGTCGAGCCCACTGAGGGTGCCACCGGTGAGAGCCAGGGTGTGCTCTTCTACCGTAACACCAACGGTATTGGTGTTCCTCCTTCCAAGATGACTGCCAAGGCTCAATAGAAAGTTCCTTGTTAGTTCGTTGGTTGCTTGTTTCGTTTTTGGTTTTGACTTCGGGTGTGTATGACTCCCTCCCGCTGGGTGTTTTCACTCCCTTCCTCTCTTTCCACTTTTATCTCCATCGCATTTCGGATTTGATTGCTGCTTTTCGATATCTTGTGTATACTTCTTGCGTTGCGCAGATACACGGATACATCGAGATTCCTTTGTGAGATTTCGCGAAACATAGATCGAGTTTGATGGTTTCTTTCATATCTCTGCTGTCGTGAATGTCATGTTTTGTTTAGATTGATCGTCTCGTTTCGAGCTGGAGGTGGAAGAGGAGCAGGAGGCGGAGGCATGTCTGGATGAAGATCAGAATAAACAAGAAGAAAAGAGATGTTTTGATGGCGAAAGACGTGATGATCTTGTTGATATAGAGAACTATGTTTCTCTTTGTTGTTCACCTATCTCATTGTGATTAATTGAAGCGTGTTATCTTTCTCTTCCTCTGCAAGCACATCCTTCATCGTATTCCTGTGTCAAGGGTAGACATACTCAAGCCTTGGTGCATGTCATTCATTTGAGATGGGACACCGGACAAGTCATAGTTCGACTCGATCCTGTGCTTGTCTTTAGTCAAGCACCTGTTAATCTGCAGTTCAGTCCAGGTTCTTCATCCACGAAGGGTTCTGAAAGATAAACAGAAGTGAGGGAAATAGGGTCAGCAGTGCAGAGGCAACAGAGTTAACGTTAGTGCAAGGCTGTGCTGTGCCAAGTGTGAATGATCGTCAACCGTTGCAGGTCTCTTGTCCACCTGCTAGTCATTCAAAGGTTTTGCTCAAGCAGACACGGAGTAAACTGCAATATAGTGTCGAAGTATGATTCCAGTGTAGATTGAAAGATCCATGTGAGACCTCTGCATATCTGCGAGCATGGAAAAGAAAAAGAAATGTTCGAAGCCCAGGGATGAAGAAAGCGACGTCACAGCCGTTGGACAAAACCTGGTTTTTGCGGGGTCGACTCGTTTCCGCCACTTGCCGGGCCCGCCTTTCTAATCAAGTACATGTATAGGGAATAACTTTATGTGTATAACATTTACTTGTTTGAATTGTTATTGTATATGTGAATAAGTAGGGTATATGGTATATCACAGTTTGCTATGCTCCGGGCTCAAAATGCATCTCAACAAAAATATCAGAGACTTTAGATGAAAGTATGACCATGACCATGACCATCAGATCGTATATCAGCAGTAGATGAATCATTCTGCGTAGCTGACACTCCGCAGTCCGCCGGCCCAGATCTCGAAATCTACCTCGTCGGTCGGTGGCCCGGTTGGTCTGCCAGGTGGAGTTTGTGGTAAGGGATACTCTTCTTCTTCTGTTGGTCCAGCTGTCCAAGGCGAAAAGACTAGTTTCATCGTTCTCCTTGTGACACGATCGGGAATGTGGTTGAGATCTTGGTCCTGGGAGCCCGGAGCTGTTCTATCCTGGGAATCAAGCTGGGGATCAAGCTGGGGATCAAGCTGGGAATCAGGGCTTGCTCTATCCCTGAAATCTGGAGCGGGGATATCTCTCGGCTCGACATCTTGGTCGATGTTTGGTTGATCCTGAGAAGACCTGAGAAACTCAGATGCCGAAATAGGCTTTTCGTCTGTACTTTCTGGCTCGGTGGCTTCTTCTGTTTCCGGTGTAAATGCCAGATATGCACCTGCAGCAACCCTTGGCGCAGATTCCTCCTTCTTCAGCGCAATGCGACAAGCAATCTGGCTCGACCAGAATAGTCCCATGGCTGGGTTTTTTAGGGATGTATGAGGTGAGAAATCATCGCCCCAGCCAGTGAAGAATCGTTCCTGGAGGTTGACACTCATGGCTTGTTCAAGTGTGAGGTCGGTGTCACAATGCGACTTTTGGAATGCATCTTCATCGTCATACCCATATAATTGAGATGACGGGATGGCAGAGGATGAAGGTGGGTCTTGAGAATCGGAAGGTGGTTGCTGAGTAGTTTCAAAGTCGATATTGACTGGCTGAGACATTGGAGGCTGGGACACTGGATGCTGTGACATTGCAACGGGGAAGTCAACGTCTTCTTCCGTTTGGCTCGGCACGTCTGATTGTGTCGAGGGATCTTCGTCAGTATCTGGGTCGTCCGGTATGTCAGGCATGTCGAAGCGATCAGACACTTGGTTCGCGACCACGATTGCTATGTCTTCTTCGACAGCAAGGTTGCGTAACATGTGGCCTAGTTTTGCAAGCTCGTTTGAGCGTGTAGCCAGGGCTATGGCGTCGGTAGATGAATGTTCGGCGCGGTAGTTTGAGGTTATTGAGTCGATAATTACTAAACCGATGTTGTAGCGTTGGATTGCAACAGGTAGCTGATAGTTCAGGATGTGATCTTGTGCTTCCAGGTCCATGGCGTTTATGGATAGAATATCTTCGAGCGAGGGCGCTTCCTCGGCCGGCAAGGTGGAGAGTATGGGGTGGCATTCTATGAGCTGGGAAAGCCGTGGCGTAGATAATGGATGCTCAGTCGAGATGTATAATGAGCGTCGTCGTAGACCATACGGTTTGGGCAGCTGAACAGCTAGACAGAGACTCATGAGGAATTGGGTCTTGCCGCTTCCACTAGGTGCGCAAAACGTCAGACCCAACTGGCCAACTGACGTAGAGATCGAGGTCTGCTACATACCTCTCACCCGTGACTTCGACAATATATCCCGTTGGGACGCCGCCTCCCAGCAGGTCATCCATCGCAAGGTCCAGGGTGCTGATCGTGTTCCATTCTGACGTCGTGCGGTTGGTCGCAGGGCCAAGAGTTAGACTTGCTGGGCGTATACTGGAATCCGGCTCTTCATCTGAATCTTCTATGATTGGCTCGGAATCTTTGAGGCCAATGTCGGCATGCAGGGCCTCGATAACGCGGTCGCAGAGCCGCCGAATGTCTGCGGGGGGAACATGGGCGCGTTTCGCGATTTCGAGATATTCGATGGTCAGAAGGTCGACGGTGGTGATTTTGGTCCGCTCGAGGGCTGGGAGAAGGTGCTGGTATGGTTTTGTTTTGAAGCCAGGTAGGACTGTTAGTAGATCCATAGGAGTGACAGGAGGAGAGTCACGGCGTGGTCGTGTCGCGATTGTTCATGGTCTCCGGACCAATCACGGGCGTTGGGGTCAGCGGAATTGGAGGTTCACATTTATTTTTCACGTTTATTCTATGAGGGATTGGGAATTCTCTATGTTTCTGATGTTCAGGTTTGCTTGGAGCTCTGACAGTTTACTCGTATGGTAAGATTTTCTAATCCTTATTATATTTTTCTTACGGCGGGGGCCATAAGCGTGTACACAGTGCCACGAAGTATTGGACAGTCTCTACACGAAAGCCTCAAGCAAGTCTACCGCTACATGCAATGCTTTCGCCCTACTTTGGCCTCTCTTTCTTCACCTTTTTTGTCCTTTCTCGAGTGCCTCAAATTGTAGTGGTTTATATACAAGCGGGGGAGTGAAAGGATTTATCCCCCATACTTGTAGATGATATCCTTAATGGATGCTCTAAATATGTATTTCCTGTTAAATAACCACTAAAATTAGGTTTAAAAAGACAATACAAGGTTTGCTTGATCATTATCCAAACCCATTAGCTTGTGCGTACTACCTGAGAAATCTCGATGATTTATATATTTCTGTGTTGCCGGACTTGACCGATAAAACTTAACACAGTAGTATGAACAGAGCCATATCCTTTGCACAATCGAATACTGTAGGCTTTTCAAGTACATCAAACAACCCATTAAATTGAATGCTTATAGCAGAGACACCCTCGCAGTACTTAATGCAAGAGCACATCTCACGCTCTATAACGTCAGAAATGGCTTGCTTACAATTTCCCAAACGAGCTAGTATATCCAACCTTAGCTTGATCAACTCATTCCACACCAGTAGTCACTTATACTTTCAAGTGATTGTGTTCTGAGACCAGTGTATCACATGGATTTTCCCGATTAGGAAGGTTATAAGACCAAGTTGAGCCAAGAGAGATTCTGATGCAAATCACTGGGGTTTCTACTACGGATGTCGCTTCAACACATTTGGAAAGAGTCTATGTTGATATAGTCAACTGCTATCAATAGAACCCACGAATGTCTCCTTTCCAGGCAGCTGGGTCGGGTAGATCATGCGAATTCTAACTTACACTTTGGGTGGATTGACCATTACTTGTAAAGTCAGTTACACTTAGCTTGTACAAGTCAGTACAAGTCCATGTACATACCTTTGTCCTGTAAGGTATGGAGGTGGATAAAGGTGGCTTGGCTGATTTCCGCTCACGATCGGACCATTCGAGTTAGGAAAAGACAGAAAACATCCATTTTAGATAAACTTCAGTGATAAAATCAAGCTCGAGTACATGTATCTAAATCATGTTGTTCTACCTCGGCAGATATCGGCTGACTCGTACTCATCAACTGCAGTAGACAGTACAGTACATGTAAACCGACGACCTCTGGAACGCCAAATCGCTGATCTGCTATACTGTACGGAGTAAGTACTTGACGTCGAGTCCATGGGGGCCAAGGTCTGATTCGTGGCTTACAGGGATCTAAAAATTCCACGTGGCAACGTCAGGATCCAACTAGCGGTCTGATCATTCGCCTAGCTCGAAAGATAGGGTCATTTTTGACAGGTCGCATTTCCTGCAAGGACGTCTATCGTGGAAATAAAGTCGTCCCGAGTGCCAGGTATTCGGTCAACATATATGTACTCTCAAGCCATTTAACCGTGAGAGTATTCGGCAATGGCTTGCATTGCTTGATCAGAATTATTATTGTGAAATGTAATGTACACTGTGTACAGTACAGTCGCGTACTTTTCAGCTCACTCAAGACAAAACGCCGCAACAAACATACCTGCAGTAGCGGCCCAGCCACGGAAATTAATCCAATCCGTTGCCCCCATTTGCGAGTCAGTGCCGTACTTGTCCCAGTCCCAGTCCTGTAATTGCGAACTGTCTCGCGTAGCCTGATGCGACCGCTGTATCTTCCAGTGTTATCTATACACCCAACTCCCACTAGTTTAGCCGCAAAAAGAAGCTTCGCAACCTCGACCCGATTGCTAGCTATTTTGACGCAGTCGCCCGTCCAAGGACCATGTCGCGAACAAAGAGGTGACCCCGGGCCAAGGCACTACCTGCCCAGTTCAACAGGGGCTTCGGAGCCGACATGGATGTTAGGGTCGAGGGTTAGGGTGTAGAATTTCCGACCAGTAATCATCTACTCGTCATCGCACTTGCATGTAGTTCATATGTACCATAGATGAGACTCCTGCCCGAAAGAGACATTCGGCTATTGCAGATATGGACTAGGGCTGGGGGCGGATATCTCACATGTACACAGTGTCTAGAACTATACCCAGTAGAGAGTACTCCGTACTTCGTTCGTTACTAGGTGCTGTAGGTTGAATCCTGGGATACACCGTTCCTTGGAAGATTCACTTGCCAAGAGGCTACTGATGCGCTATAGTGATTCCTTCTGGAAGCGATTTCAAATGAGTTACTATCACCTGTTCTGGAAATCCATGTGGTTAGGTCGGGGTTCACGGTCCAGGGCAGACATGATTCAAGGATGATTACAATAATCTTCTCAGCTTGCAAATGGTAATGATAGTCGGATTATCATTGTATCATAGCCATTGTAAATGCACGGAAAAAGCAAGGGTGGTATGATGTCCAACTACAACTTACTGTATACTTATTGTGCTGCAACTGTACATCAAGGACTTCGAAGCCGATAGTAGCCTTGTGCTTGTATTGTACGCTGTACTCTGAAACGAACTTGGGTAAATTAACACAAAGCAGGCAAACAGGCAAACAGGCAAACAGGAAAAGTCAATCGAGACATGATCAAGTTGCGTAGATCCAGTGCAGACCAGTGCAGACGATCATGGCGCCACGAAGATATCGCATGCAACTGCGTTAAGTATGTCGGGTAATAAGCATAAACTCCGAATGATGGCTTTTGTTTTCCGAGTATTTCATGGGTATGAGTTCTTATGCAGTATAGCAATATGGGAAACCTTACAGTAGAGCTAATGCAGAAGCCCTCATCCGAGTTCCCCGGCGAGTCAATGTTTCGGATATCATCTATACCATACGGTACAGTATCGCAAACGGTTAAACGGCCTGGAATTGGGAAGATCTCGTATATCATCTGCAGGCCTCAATTTGTAGTGTCTAATTCTATGAACTAAGGCAACCAGGTTGTCTAGGGCTATATAATACAGTACAATGATCAATGATATCACAGTAAGAAGTATGAAGTACTACAGTAAATCACCGTCAGAAATCACCGGTGCCGGGATCTCGACTTGCAGATCAAATCCACGGTCGAGCTAGTATTGGTTCAGGTTACCGGAGCGGCTCCTACCAGAAACCGTCTAGTCAGCCTCATATTCTGATTGGTAAACCTACGGAGGGTATGACAGAATCATGTTAAATGGCAGATGTTTCCATGGATACGAGCGAGCTTCTTTAAGCCCTAGAACAAAGCAGGATTGGACAGGGACAGTACCTAAGGGGTACATGGAGTTCTATAGAATAAAGGTGCGGATAGGGGTCTCCGGTCCGTTGGGCTGGGATCCTGTGGGTAACGTTAACGTGGAATGACTACATTACTGAAAAGATGATCTACTGGAAATAAGCATGTATTCCATGTTTATATGATATCTAACGTTATTTCATATTTATATTTTTATGTTTAGTCTGTACAGAGAGGAAGTAAAATACACTTCGAATACCATACGAGGCCATACCACGGCCCACTAGTGTCACTGTCTCCCCCTCTCTTTCTCTTTTCATCTACCTGATTTTCATCTCGTATGTCTGCGAACTTGATCTGACCGTCTGATTTTCCTGACAGGAGAGAGGTCAGCTGGAAGGGGGGAATTACGCTGAACCCCCCTAATTTCGATACTGGAAACTGGATTTGGATTGTGGGCCGGATTGTACGTCGCGCACCAAGAATCAACGAAATCGCCATCGCACTCGGACGTGTTGTTGATATCGCGCCCGGCAGAATAACTGGGGATCACCGGAAATAACAGTGTCAATCCGCGAAAATGGCGACCAGACCATCCATCATGCCGCCTCACAATGAGACCGAACACTCGGTCAGCAGGGTTACTCGAGAAGGCAAACAGCTCACGTACAAATTGAGCGTGATGCAGCAGCCAGAGCGAGCCAGAGCCTGTGGCGCAGGAGCAAAGTGTAAGCAGAAAGGAATCGAGCCGTGGTCGCGTTCGCTGAACATCTCGTATAGCATCTGCCGACCGTCGCCCTGTTGATCCTCCGCCCGTTGTCGAGCTGCGTATCTTCGAGTCCGATCCCAACAATGAAGCCCACCAGACAGACATTACTTTTGCCTACAATGCGAACTTCTTCCTCTACGCAACCTTGGACACTGCACGTCCTATCGCCCACGGGCGGGTATCTGGACCACCATCGTGCCCAGTCTTGACAGGTGTGCCAGTCGCCGGCATCGCGTACCTCGACCGTCCCTCGCAAGCAGGTTACTTCATCTTCCCGGATTTGTCAGTGCGCCATGAAGGCCGGTATCGTTTGAACTTTCACCTATATGAAGAGATCAAGGACGCCAAAGATACCGATAGAGACTCGAATCTCCCTCTGCCTAACCAAGTTGCTCCTGTCGGCGGAGCGAAGCAAGATTCGCCGCATGCATTCCTGCATTTCCGTCTCGAGGTCAAGTCAGTACCATTCACAGTCTACAGTGCGAAAAAGTTCCCGGGCCTGGCAACTAGCACCTCCTTAAGCCGCATCATTGCCGAGCAGGGTTGCCGTGTTCGTATTCGCCGTGATGTGCGCATGAGACGCCGGGGAGACAAGCGAGAGGAAGATTACGAATTCGACGAAGAACGCACCGGTGTATATGCACGACCTACAGATCGATTCTCGACACCTGATCGTTACGCTGCTGCGATGGACCGTCCTCGATCAAATAGCAACGGCAGCGTGGTTGAATCGCCATATGGGTTTGTTCCACCGGATCGACGACCCTCTGCGCCAGATTATGGCTTCCAGTGCCCGCAACCATATCAGCGACCTATGCCACCCGCACCTATGTCCCACTCCCAAACACCTTCATATCAGTCACACCTTTCATTCGGCTCTACACCAACTCATTACCCGGCTCCGCACATGCCTCCTACACCTCCGCCAGTTGTACCAGCAGGAATGTATTCTCCGCAACATACATATGCGCAAATTCGACACCCATCAAATGCCTCAGAGTATGAAGGGACGCCCGGTGGGTATCCCATGGCACCTCGAATGCCCGAGCAACGAATGGGCTATCCTAAGCCGTCTGTGACTTCTTACCACATAGAACCGCCTAAAGCACAACCGTACATGGACCCTCGCATGGAACCGCCAAAAGCACAACCTTACATGGATCCCCGCATGGAAACTCGCATGCCCGACCCCAATCTCTACCACCCAATGCCACAAGCAGCAGTGTCACGCACTCAAACCCCGAGCATGGTATCAGCATTGGCGCCTCTGAAGGCCCCACCCAACGAATTTACCAACCAGGTTGTTCCCTCTGTAGAATGCACGTCTCCAAGCCCAGGATACGACAACGTTTCGGGGAAGCGCATGCTGTACCAGACTGGTCCAGCATACGGAAAACGGTCCCATGAAGATTCCTTTGGCCTTGATGAACGTTCGATGCAGAATGGTATGCGGCCAGATGCTGAGCCTTACCCTGCTGCCGTCTATCGCGATTACGCTGCAGAGAGTCGGGCTGCATTGATGGCTGAAATGGGCATCGAAATGTCATACAAGCGTGCCAACGGCAGAACTGTACAGAAAGCCCCTCCGCCAACTTGAGATTGACGTGGATTTGCTGAATGGCATTGAGCATGACTTATTCGCATTGGGCTTGTCACGATGACTAGAACCAGTCAATGGACCGGATCCTGACACGGCATTTATCTGTATATGACTTTTTTTCTCGACTTCACTGCTGGATTTTGAGCCCTAGACATCTCGATGCATTGCGCAGCTATCTCTTCAGGAACATGCTTCTTGTTTCTTTTCAAGTCTCTTTTCAAGTTCGATCATTCGCGCGAATACCCTTCAGTCAACATTTATATTCCCTCGGGGCTTGGCTCTGCTTTTCCTTCGACTACCTTGGCCCAATTGTGATCCCTTCCAATCGCATCATTCCTGGGAACTACATCATTCCTCTCTCGCTATATGTAAGAGCAAGGCACCCGGTTCCTTTCATCCCCGAGCCGTACGATCGGGGAAATTCCCTCCCTTCCCCGATTTGGACCCCAACTGGGATGTTTACGATCTACAGGGAGTTTTCGGTCCCTAGGCTTGATCTATTTTTCCCTTTATGTTATGGGATGGTCTTATGTGATGTTCAAAAGGGCGGCACAGTGTTTATTTGTCCAATTTCCAGCGATCATTGTTTCTGGGACGTACTTTTATGGACAGTCAGAGCGGGTCTCATTATGAAACTGCATTGAGACGTCGCGGTATTGGGCTCCCTTGCTTTGAACCCTCGAAGGCCTAATCTACTCTTTACATCGGCGTCTGGCATGCCCCTGATACCTAGCATTGTTAGCTCAATCAATCCTTTGCACAAATCCAGCAGAATGCACATGAGTCTGTGGACTTGGAAAGTAAACAGTATCGACATTCCTCACAAGCACATGTCTGAGACACGCGGACTTATCGAATCCCCGCAAGGTATAACTTACTACGTAGATGAACAATAATATGCCAATAATTTAGTGGACATTCTATATTTTCTTCTTGTAGCGGGTACTTGGTAAACAGTGAACGAAGTGCGGGAGACTCGGGTACCCAGTACCACAACAAACTTCCCCCTTGGTAAGTGCGGAGTATGTAAACAAACCAGTACTTTGTTCGTCTATCCCAAACACCTTTCTCTTTCTTGCCTTTCAAGTATCCTACCTCTCTCCTCAGCATCCTTTTTCTATGCTACAGCCCTTTCTCCCAGTTTCGCGATATCTCCCCCTCAACAAGGGCGCGCGGAGCAGGGATGCCAAAGGACGCCCCCACCGCAAAGGTATGGCATCCAGTATCCTCCTTGCCCGAATCCCCACGGAAGGGATCGTTCCAGGCGCACCAGCATAAGAAGAAACGAAACTGACCACCCTGCGCCACTCCAGATAACCCGCGAGACCAAGTCCAAAATGGACCTTGACCCAAGCCCCGCGCAGCGCTCCTCGCGCAAACACCTGCGCTCCAGTGAAGACGACAACTACGATTGGAGCTCGGACGTGTCTGGCCAATTCGACGACGCCGAAGAGGTTGACCAGGACGAACATCGCTCGCTCACGGCAAACCTGGCCAAACGCCGCAAGTCCAATGATTGGCCTTTGCCTGATGAAGCTGCAGAGTATGGTTCTGCGTCCCATGACGGTGCCAATGATCGCCGCACCAACCGCAGCGATAACGGCAATCTGAGTGCTAGCAATACTAGACCTGCATACAAGGCCTCGCCGCGCGCTTCACCGCGTGCTTCGCCTCGCGGGTCGTTGGCTTCGCTGCGCGCTCGACATGCCGCTGCTACTTCTTCTAGTCCCCGTCATCGGCGTGGTCGAACATCCCGTTTTGTGGAGGCGAATATGAATGATAGTGTCAGTGAGAAACCGCCTAGCATTTACTTCCGTGATCAGAAGCCCGCTGGGCAGAACCGCTCGTCTGGTATATTCCGATTTGGAAAGGCCATTGCGTCGGCCTTTAATCCATTTGGTGGATGGGGCAAGAATTCTGAGGAGTCGTCCAATAAGTCGCCGCAAAAGGATGTTATCAACCAGGCTGAGGCTGCTTATGCCGAATTGAAGAAGGTTGGCTACAAGGGTACCAATAAGGGTTCATACACCCAGCCTCATTGTGTCAATACGTCTCATGCCGACCAGACCTGGCAGGCCATTCAAGAGAAGATGGAGAATGGCTCGCCTGTGAAAGAGTCAAGCCGTCATTCTGTTGACCGTGGAGATCGTGCTGTGCCCTCTCGCTCTGACTCTTCGGCTTCTAAACGCTCCTCTTTCCAGGATCTGCGTACGACCTTCTTTAACAGACCACATGAATCGCCTTCTACTGCTCCTACGGTCTACTGTGATAGAACGTCGGACGAGTCTGAGCCTACTGGTCTTCGCAAGCAACCTTCACGTCGGGAGCTCTCGCGCCAAGCCAAGCTACTCAAGAAAGTCAGCAACCTCGAGGAGAAATTGCTTCGTGCTCGGCGGGAGCTTCGTGATTTGACCGGCAATGAGGAGCGGACACCAGCACCTACACCATATTCCAAGCCTCTCAATGCCGAGATGGATCCCGCATCGTTCCCACGGAAGTTCGTTCCTGGGGCTCTTCCTACTCTCCCGTCGGAGAGACTTCTGGATCAACAAGCAGAAGCGTCCGGGTCTGATGAGACCAGAGTGACAGTGACAGCCCTGCCTGCCATGGAGGACCGAGAAAGTTTCTCATTCGAAAAGCCCCGCCCAGCTCAAATCCCGGCTGCGGCCAGAACTCCAAGGCGCCGCTCAAAAGAGCCACGGCCGTTGTCAATGGGTAAGAACAGCTCTTCCCGTAAACGGAAGTCACCCATTCCTGAATCAGTCGATAGTCGGAACCCTCCTCAACCCAGTCCGACGGACTGCGACACCAACCTCGAACTCGAATCCGAATTCGACGAATTGATCGACTTCGATCTCCTCAGTCCCCCGGGTAAAGTGAAATGGCAAAAATCCGAAGCCGGCGAAAGCCCAGGCTCGGCCAAGCGCAAGCAAGCCATCGACAACGCCGCTCTCACGGCGATCCCAGAAACCGTCGAAACAGACAGCGGCACAGACCGCAACACAACCAACAAAAGGTCTCCCTCTGTCCAATCCCGAAGAGTCTCCACGGCCAATCGCTCACCAAATTCAAAGCCCTCAACCCCCCTCCACATGAGACAGAGTCAGTCAAAACTGCGCTTAGAGTCAGCCGCCTCAGACCGGACTGATATCTGGTTCTCGCCTCTGCCCACCACCCCAACAAACCAATCCGACTCCCACCGCGCCTTCTACCTCCAGTCCCATCGCACCCTCAATCCAGACCGTAGCCCACGCCCTTCTCCTTCCAAACCACCTCCCGGATATCAGAGAGGCTATGGCTACGGTCTGACTCGCAACGAGGACGTCCCTCCCGTGCCACCCCTCCCAAAGGAACTGCGCTCGAATGCTGCTAAAGTCACTAAGAACAAGTCACCTACTAAGAGACCGGTCTCTTACTCTGCGCAGCCTTCTGCCCTTCTCTCGCCTGAACCGGGCTCTGTTCGTCTTCTTGGTGGTCTTGAGGATTACCAGTGGCCTGAGGATATCTTTTGAAGGGGATCTTTCTTCTATCGCTGGCGTTTTGTCTGATTAGCGTGTTCTCTCTTCCCCGTGGATTTCATGGATTTTCATGGATTTGCAAGGTTGTTCGTGTACGGGTGTAGGTGGATATGGTTTTCTGAGTGATGTTACGATGTAATGACGGTTTATACCCTGGCGTTTTGGGTGTGTTGACTTTCAATTGAATTCGAATTGAACTGTTCCAATCGAAATGTGTATTACCCTACCCAATAATGTAATAATGTAACTATCCAACGGCTATTAGCATATTTCGCCACGGAGTTTTCCCGCGCCGCACGGGACCGTCGGTCGAACCCGAGCAATCGGCCAACGCCGGGAATTGTTAAATATGCGGGGCTTATCGCTACACTTTCAACTTCGCCTTTCACTTTTCCCTCCATTCTCTCTCGCTTTATTCAATTGACTCTCCAAACCCTCAGTTGAACCCGCCACAGCCCTCACAATGTCCGACAAGAAGATCGGTGCCTACTACGCACCAACCGGTGGCCTCCCACCCCAAACCCAACTCCTAACCGACCGCGCCATGTTCACCGAAGCCTACACAGTAATCCCAAAAGGCACCTTCAGCGACATAGTAACAAGCTTCCTCCCATTCTGGGACAAGACCCGACTATGGGTAATCGCCCGCCCACTCTCCGGGTTCGCGGAAACATTCTCGCAATACATCATGGAAGTCCAACCCGGCGGCGGCAGTGACCGCGCCGAACTAGACGACGCCGCGCAAGGCGTTCTCTTCGTCGTAGAAGGCGAAATCACCATCACACTCGCTGGCAAGGACCACACCCTTACCGAGGGAGGCTACGCATACCTCCCGCCCAAGAGCGGCTGGACACTTCGCAATAATGGCGCGCAGACTGCGCGCTTCCATTGGGTTCGGAAGGCATATGAGGCTGTTGAGGGTCTTGACTACCCGACGCCGCTTTTCTTGAATGAGAAGGAAATTGCGCCTACTGTTATGCCGGATACTAATGGGGCGTGGGCTACGACGAGATTTGTGGATCCGTCTGATTTGCGTCATGATATGCATGTTACTATTGTTACTTTTGAGCCTGGTGGTGTTATTCCTTTTGCTGAGACTCATGTTATGGAGCATGGGCTTTATGTCCTGGAGGGTAAGGCTGTGTACCGTCTTAACCAGGATTGGGTGGAGGTTGAGGCGGGTGATTTCATGTGGTTGCGCGCTTTCTGTCCGCAGGCTTGTTATGCTGGTGGTCCCGGGAAATTCCGTTATCTGCTTTATAAGGATGTGAACCGTCATATGAAGTTGTCGAGGCCGTGAAGGTAGAATGGGAGATTGTGGGAAGATTCTTTTCTTTTCTTTTGTTTTAAAAAGGTTTCCGCCTAGATTGCATATGTATATAGCCACACATAAACCAAAATCTATTTCTTATCTGCATATGCGTGGAATCGTGCCTTGGGTCTCGAGATATAGAGAGGCAATTTACCCGGAGTACAGTAGGAGCCAGACATCAAAGACTTCCTTAAAACCTTCTACTTTAGCATTGATATATGATAACAATCATTGAACTACATTGAACTACCATTCACAGACCATCACCCGCCAGCCTCTTAATCCCGATGCAACTCAGCATCCTTCGGCAAAATCAACCAACTCAATCCCGACGCACCAATCAATCCAACAAGCATAGGCTGTAGAACCTGCACGCCAACCCTAGTGGCAATGATACCAGTCAAAGCAGGGAAGACAGAGCCACCAATTTGGCCGAAGACGAAGACGAATGCTGTTTTTGTTAGAAATCTGGAAGAGATGAAATTCGCGTGGCTTACCGATAGCGGAAGACTGAAGTTCTGGTGGGAAGATCTTTGTGCCTACTGATATACCCTAGTTATCAAACATTAGCTAACTTAGTGGTTATTCACATATATGGGTGAAGGTATTGGAAGAACAAACCGTTGCAAAGAATGGACCCATAAAGAGACCGAGTAAGCTGACTGCTACTGCTTCGGTGATGATATTCGGGACACTGCTTTAGATCAGTACATCGAGTCATAAATAGAAAGAGGCGATACACACAGCCAAAATATCAACTGCAATCCCAAGCAGAGCACAGCGTAAATGAAGATCATCCGCCGCTCTCCAAACCGATGCGTGGGCTCTGCCAAAAGAAGCCGTCCAAGAAATGCACCGCCATAAAAGCCAGCCGGCACATAACCCATTTGTTTGACGTCGCCATCGCGGACATTGACGAGGTACTCGACCATCCAACCTAGCAAGCTCAGCAAATGCAAACGAACAACCAGCAATCAAAGGAGAAGTCATACCTCCAGCAGTAATACTAGCCCCCAAAAAGAAAAAGAAAAACAAACTCAACAGCCAAACCCCAGAAATAGAAAGCGTTTCCTTAATCTCCTTCAACGCACCCCCACTAGCATTCCTCTCCCTCCGCTCCCTCCTCCGACTAGAAGTCAAAGCAGAAGCCATACGATCCCGAAACGAAGCACCAACAAGCGCAAGATTGGCAATCCCCACCCCAAGCGGGAAGACATAAAACAGATACCACTTCGAATCCACATTCGCCGACGCAACCCCCGTCGCCACAAACGGTCCTACTAAACACCCAGCCATATACATGGCATGGATAAATCCAAGATACCGGTGGGCGCCGTGCAAGGAAGCAACGAATGTATTGGCGTGCGTATCATTGTAGGCTTGGCCCAGACTGGCGAGGAAGAATGTTACCGCAAATAGCCCGAATGGGGGTAGCCAGACTCGCAGGACGTGTGCTAGAATTTGGATGGCGGCGCCTAGGCAGAGGATTGGGCCTAGGTCTAGGTATTGGGTCATTGTGCTGTTTGTTAGGGCTGCGACGAGCCAGCCGAAGAAGGTTGTGCCGTATCTGGGAGTTGTTAGTATAAATGGACTTTTGGAGGGAGGGCGTTTGGGTTGTTGTGATATGTTTGTAGGTTGACTTACAGTACAGCTACCATGTCAGTGCTGATATCGTAAGAGCGGATCACATAGGGAAGTATCGATCCTAGACTTCCGTCGTTGACTCCCGCCACGAAGAAGGATAATCCTGCGCTGAGGATCTTGGGATACATCCATTTTACTTCCGGGGGACTTTGGTCTTGGGTGCTCTCATTTTCGTTTGTGTTGGCTTCGGTATGAGGTGTTGGTTGGAGTACGATTGTCTCTGTTTGTGTTTGTGTGCTCATGGTGATGACATAGAACGTGAAATGAGATGTGTTGGGTAGAGTCGAGTACCAATGAGAAGATGTCTAAGACTTTTGAGTCTTGGGTAGGATATACAGAGTGAAGCAGATGAGAATGCGGGTTTATTTGCAGCTGCTTAGAAATTCAAAGTCGGAGAAAGTGACGTGGAGTTACATCTGCGGAGACCCCACGCTTTTCTTGGCCCGGAGTTTAGCCGAACTATATTACTATACTTCCATTACGCGGATCCCATCCAGGTAATTGCCATAGATTCACGGACCTTTTTTTAGGTGTAAGTCTGGGAATTTAGTATCGGAATTGAGAATAAAAATACTGTGATTGGGCCTGCTATTGAAACACTTGAATTGCTTCAGGGAGCTCGAACTCAGATGGCCGCCGAGTTTACTACTGTCTACGACTTATTTGAAGATAACAAGCAGACTACTCCGCCCATTCTACTTGCTGAGAAGTAGCTTTAAACGATTGTTGAAGCTTGGAATGATTCGAAGGTCTACGGTATGTCTATTGTCATTCCGCACCATGCAAGTGGGTGGTGCTGACCGGCTTCGTAGCGGATGACTATACCCAGCATGCCTTTATGACCACTGACCCGAGGAAACACACCGTCCGGCTTATCTGGACCAACTGAATGCTCGATCAAAGTAGGGGGCGGGCATATTCGCACTTCATTTTCTCACCTCTCCCGTTGGGAAGCAAATATCGATTCTGGAAATGCACGCCTTATACATGCTTGCACGGGGGCATACATATACGTATGACGAGAAGCAATGGTGATACGGAGCGGCAGGGATTATGGGCAGACTCCTTCAGCAACTCCCTAGATAAATGTAAATGACGGCGGCGGGTGTTTTTATCAATGCATTTCGGGTACGATGTCATGATTGAGAAAGGCTATTAGTGGTTTGCATCGGACCTTGTATATGCTAGACGAATGGAATAGCCGTTCCGAGATGACTAGTCTCTGCCTTCGCCCCTTATTATACGCTACTAAGCGAGGACCTTGATCCTATAACAAGAGGAAGACACAGTTCAGTAAAAGGCTTAGCTACCACTATTTACTCCGCTAGCTCATCGTACGAGGGCCTATGGCGCTTTTAAGAGTGGGGATAGTATGAATCATGTCTTTATGTTGGTGATTTATATTGTTCTATTAGATTATTAATATTGTTTAGAATGTGTGTTTCAGTGTTTAAGAAAAAGTATTAAGGATAGTTAATAAACCATCCAGATGATTAGATTAATCTCAGTGAAGAAGGTCCAAAAGGCTAACATCCTGATCAAAATACACAGTAATCGCCTCACTATCAAGCACCGAGACAGTCCCGTGACCGTTTTCAACAGTGACCTCCTCCTGCACCATAGAACCGTAAACAAAATGCCCTTTACCCCCATCAACAGTATGAGACCACTGCTCCCCAGCCCAAGTAACATTATCTTCATGACCACCAAGATCAAAGCCCATCGCCGAAGTACCTTTCTCAGCGTGCAATCTCCGAGCATGCAACGACCCGACGCCAGCATCAACATTCAGAATAACCTCAGCACTACCACGGTCATCTTTGGAATTATGATCCCACTGCTTCAGATTGACAAGTGCAACACGCGCCAGCTTCCCTGATTGGAGATTGTACATTGCAAATGCACTAAAGAACTGCGGAGTGCCGGGTACGTCAATCTCAATGACCTTCCCAAGGGAGTCACCCTTGCCCACGAAGTCTGTGATAAACGCGGCAGAAGGGAAAACACCCTGCACAGAAGGTCCGCTGGTTTGTGGGCCCATATCATTGGGAACCCAGAATGAATGCGTTGCCTCTGGGCGCATGGTGTTAGAAACGCGTTTCACGCCGCGTGCCATTGCTGTCAGGTGGAAGTCGACTGCCCACAGAGCTGCACCAAATGCGCCGGCAAAGCTAATCGGAGGATCTCCTAGGGCGCACCCGAGTTCGGAGATCACGAAGCCAATGTTGCTGTCGGCTTTGTGGATGTATTCAATGCCCCTTCTCATTTTGGGGAAGCGTTCCGCGATGGCGTGGTGGTTCATGAGGCGATCTTTTATGATGATGTTAGTCTATATCCCCCAGAACGTAAGTTTAAAACATATATGATACATACCCTGCAGCGCCTGTGAATCATATTTGCCCCCCTCATCGGCCTGGTAGTAATGCTGCGCAGCATACTTGCCATATCCATTTGCATTGAGCTCGTTCTGGAAGACCTTCCGCAAGCCAAAGTCCTCCCCGTCCCCATCACGCTGTTTGATCACCGTCCACCCGATATCTCCCAGCTCAAAGATACGTCTATCTTCACCCTCCAAGCCCAATTGCTCAATCGTCCGATTCTCAATCTTCAGCGCCCTATCAACATACTGTTTCACACCGTATGAGTAGTAGTCCGGTTCATTCCCCAATGCAATGGCATTAACACGCTCTTTTCCAAGGGCACGATAAGCCTGCTGAACAAACTCCATCGAATTAGGAATCCAATCCTCATCTTTGCTGTCAGGTCTAACAGGGATCATAGGAGCCTGGATGGTCATGGTTGTGCTCTGGAACCGCTTGAAGGTATCGAAATAGCCACGGCCAAGGACAAATATATCTTCGCTTGAGTATGGACACGAAGGACCACTAGCGCAGTGAGCTGGTTCGTCTTGTGTTAGGTTGACCTGCACCAGGTCACCACTTGTGCCGCCGATACGGATGATTAAGGGCTTGCTCATGCGCGAGCTGATGGAGTTGATTATGTTTTCTGAGAAGTCGGTGTCGAATTGGGGGAAGAAGGCGGTTTCGAAGCCGAAGCTGAAGAAGTCGGCTGGGACGTGGTAGGCCTTTTCCGGGGCATTCTTTTGGATTGTGAGGTTGTACTGTTGGGTATCTGCCTGTGCTAGAGTCGTAAATAGAACAGCTGTTGCTATTGAGGATAACATCCTTTGGGTCTGTCTGAGGTTTGAATTTGAAATGATTTTTGGGAGATATTATGGGCTGCCATGCCAGTCTCTATACTTATACTTTGGATGTACAGTACACCACTGGGGGTCTGCCCTGTCCATATAATTGACCCACATGGATAAGGAGAAGTTGGGGGGGAATCCCGTATCAGGGATGACAAGTGCCTGGGGTATGTTCTCCTGCATCGGTCTCGTCAGTCGTGTGTTGACGGGGTTAATGTGGACCGTCGATACTTAGTTTGGTAGTAGGTCATGCGTATAACGGGGCTCAAGGCATCACTTTTCAGTAGACCCGATTTTATTTTGATTGAAATATGGGACGATACGCCGCGCGTTGTCATGATCTGCGAACTTGCATACATGTTCTGTATCCTGAATAATGCCTGGCAAATCTTGGCTTTCCCTTTCCGTTTTAGGGCTCGCCCCTTGCCACTCGGGAGAGAGCTTGTTCTCTGATCGAAGGATCATCGATCGATCTTCTCACTTCTTTCCGCCGAAGTATTCAACCATGTCTGCCTATAATATCCTTCAAAAGGGACATCCTAACCGGAGCGTAACCCCTACCCCAATACCAAACCAGATGCTCTCCTTGGTTCACCCCTTAGAAAAACTTCACGACGACCAACAATTACGACAAATCCTTGATCACTCTTTCTCTCTTTTTGACGATTGCGATATCCGCCATCTCTCCGGGGCGATGGTTGATGCCCTAAAGTCAAACAAGATCTGTCTTGTAAAGGAACTACTCCGTCGTAATCTGCCTATGTCACCAATTTATGTACTCGAAGCTGTTAAGGCTAAGGCAAAAGACATCTTAACAAGCTTCTTTATAACCTCCTGGGATATTAACAAGCCAATGGATAGAATGACTTCCCCCGCTCCCGGTTCTTGCGTGATTCAACCCATTCTATTCTAAAGGTATCAATTAGGTGACATTCGTTTACTTCTAGCAATGCACTCGGGGACCGGGTAATGACCATATGGCTTCTTTATCCTGGCGCCAATTCCAACATACGATGCGATATCGATTAAACACCCTCTCTCGCCGTCAAATATGCCGATCTATCAATCATTCATCTTCTTCTATATTGTGGCGGTGATGTTAGGAAAGGTCAGCTTGTGCATACTGCGATTTACCGAAAGTCCGAAAGCCTCGAAGTGGTCAAAACCCTTAAAGAGAAGGGTGCTCCGTTCGATTTTCTCTGGTACGAAGACTATCAAGCTTCTTATGACATGTTTCCTTTCAAGAGGGAAACTTCATTACATACGGCAGTGGCTCTTAAAAGAGACGACGTTATTAGATACCTGGTCAGCAAAGGAGCAAATGTGAACATTGGAAATAACAAGGACAAAATGGCCATGTAGTGTGCAGATGAGGACACCAGCAGCCAAATCATGCAAGGTCTCCTGAGCCGAAGTGTCTTGCACGCATCTTTGTGACTTCATTCACCCTCTTGGACGACGAATGGATTCTTGTTAGAATGAATCTAATGGGGTTAGTTGTATGTCCGCATACTGGGACCATAGTGGAGGTCGGGTGCTTAGTTTACATGTAGATCAAAAATAACTTAGCTTACCGTGGAGTAAGTTGACTCCATATGACTCGTATACTTGAAGATCATAAGTTTGGCCCCGGCACCGACCAGGCTGGATCATCCCTGAGGTGGAACATCGCCTCGAAATTATTACATGTACATGTGTTGTACTCCGTAGATCAAATTGATGTGTACTCCAGAGCTTCGAGTTAGCTCAGTGGCAAGTTTACGAAAGAAAAATACACTTTTCTGAGACCATTCCCTGATCAGATCGAGAAGCCGACAATCCCGGCTCTCACCACCTTACACATGACAATCGGTCCGTTACTATAAACGCAGGGTGGAGAAAGGAATTGCCGATCTATATCCACTTTGCTTCATTTTTGTGAAAATCGGTCAATCTTTTGCCTCGATGATGTGGCCTCGCTTGCAAATCATTGAAGGCAAACAAGAGGGGATTCAATGAAGTCATTTACTATTGGATTTTCTCGATCCGATTGTACTTTTTCTGTTGTGAAAATCAAGATGTATAATGTCAATCGGGACGAACAAAATATATGACATCAACATCCTCAGGGGTGATTCATTGAATGCTTTAGGGGCGTTCAAGAAAGGCATCGATCGCACCAGCGGTTGATACCTACTGCAGTGTGCTTTCACGGCCCTAATACTTTTCTTTTATACAGTTCATATGTTTAATGTTGGGTTTGCAGATCATGGGGAAGCTTAATCAGAGCTTGAGATGATTGAGGGTATGATAGCTGCAACTATTGTGCTCATCTGAATGAAAGGGAAAGCTTATGCGAAACTGAAAATACGGGCACACTCCATGCAGTGATGCCTTTTAGCTGTTTAAATAGGTACAGTAGCCAGAGTATTGCTAGTGAACATCTTCCTATCGATGTAGCACTCAAAAACGGACAAAGGATAAGTGAAGAAAGCGACGGAAAACTAGAGCGAATATAATGCATTGAAAGGTTATACTCGCGCCGAGGATATATTTTGTGTAGATACTGTCCAAGACTTCATGAGTGACACTTGATACACATATGACCCTTGTTGTATAAACATCCACAAAAGCACAACCAGAAGAGCATGCCTCCATTCAAAGAATAGCAGTAGCATTCGCATGCGACCCAACACCACCTATAACCCAATTAGCAAACCAACCAAAAAACTCAAGAAAAGAAAAGGAACATACCAGGCATATTAGCCGGAGCACTAGTAACAAAAAACGACCACTTCCCCCTCTCCCGACACAAGGTAGCCAACCTCTCCAAATCCCACATCTCGCCAATAGGAACACCCCAAAGCGCCAACAAACTCTGGTGCAAATAATCATGCTTCGGAACCGGCCACACCTCAAAAGTTGGCGAGTCCCCAGCAACAGCAGCAAAATAGCAATCATGTAACCAATCCCGCACAGCCTGCTCGCGCGCCACTCCTGCAAAACATAGGTCCTCGTGGGACCGTGTTGCTGCCGCATAGCGTTCCTCTGAGCTGAGTTCGTGGTACTTGTCTACGAAGCCCGAGCGGATGAGGAGGATGTCTCCGATGCGGATGTCGCCGCCTTGTGATTGGGGGCGGAGATCGAGGCCTTGGGAGGTTGCGCAGGCTTTTAGGTCGGATAGGGTTATGCTGTGGTTGGTGTAGGGGTTGTAGGGTTTGTTATGTGTTTGGGAGTAGTGATAGTAGTCTAGGAGGATTCCTCGGCCGGCTATGCCGTGGTTTGCCCAGTGGTGGATGCTGCAGCGGTGGTTTGCTGCTGGGCCTAGGAAGTCGGTGCTTCTGGCCTGGTTTAGGTCAGGGTTGAGTTGGTGAATGGGGGTTTGGGATAAGGATGGAGTTGGAGCATACATACCCCGTTGTAGAACAACTTGCTGTCAATGTGGGAGAACTAGGACAGCATGTTAGATCAAAGGTGTGTAATGTAGTAAATTGATCTGAATTCGACAACTTACATGCCTAAATCCATCCCATTGCGTCCCACTCTGCGTGTTCATGGTATATGTATCATCATAGGAGATATCCGGAGCGATTGTCTTGATATTATGCTGGAATACCTCGCGGTCAAAAGCAGGTTTTTCAGGTACCGTGAGAGGAAGGCTGAGCAGTATACACTGTGAGTAAAGCAATATTGCCTATGATATCGGTTGTACTTACTCCAGTCGAACCATTTCGCCAGTCTCAATCTCAGCAGTAGAAGCCTTCACCCGCTGCGGTGTCAATAGATTTAATCTACCCAACTAGTATTCAATCAGTTGCAAGGAAACAGAGAGTAGGTGTGAATAATAGCAATAACCAACCTCATCATCTTCCCCCCAGACCCAAGCAGCGCCTTCCGGCGCACCAGCTAATTTCGGAAGATCTTTGATTGAAGGAAACTGCGTGTTGTTCGGATTCCAGGGTAATTGGTCTGGGATTTGGATCGAAGGAGGCATTTTGGGGTTATTGCTAGGCGGTTTGTTGTCAATATGGCTTGAGATGGCGGAAAGCCGGGAAGAACTGCGAGATACCATAATAAAAGTCGGTGGTGGGGTTACGATCTGGATCCTGGATTTTAAACTATATTATATCGAGTTCCAAGGTGGGCTTTGTTTGAGAGGGGTTTATATGGACTGAAACTGAGTATATTGAAGCCGAGGATAGGTCTGAATCCCGAGGCTAAGTTCGGGTCTACATTTATTCTAGGGGTTGCGGGGGATGTTCAGGCTGATACATAGCGAGATTGATATGTTTCGGTGGAAAGCCGGGGGATGCGGAGAGAGCAGTTTTCCCCACAATGACGTGTAGCGTATGGGGAAGCTTGGAGTTACAGTGGTTCAAAGTGTACAACACTTGCGTAGGCCAATTGGCCTCGTTTTTTGCCATTTTCATTTGAAGGGAGTTTCCCCCAGATGGTATACACACACAACGATGTCTGCCTCGCCAGTGGCGGGCTCGAATCTGCTCCATATGGAGGTTCGTGGTCCATCTGCCACTTTCTGCACAAAACATGAGGGAAATAGCCGCCCGATCCGGGGATTTCAGGAAAGACGCTGCAGGAAGGGTATGCGTGACAGAGAGAAGAAAAGAAAACTAAACAAAAAATGAAGGAACACCCATAATTGCCGGTTCGCAAAAGTTATTGTATGGCCATCCCAGTATGCTCCCCAAAGCCCAGATCCCATTGCGCCGAAGACAAGAAAACGATTCAAGACGACTCAACCGTGAGTATTCGTTTCGGTTGTTTGTCTTGCCACTCCTAAATATCAAAAGACATAGCAATCATCGCTGAAAGGACATGAGAAAAGTGAGGATCCGTTTAGCCCTGGGAAGGCACACCAGTGGACTCGGGCTGAGTCCGGCCTCCACGGCCACGACCGTAGCCACGGCTGTATCCACCGCGACCACGTCCGTAGCCACGGCCACGGCCACGTCCGCGGTAATTGGGCCGGTAGCCATCAACGCTGCCTTGTCCGAAGGTCTCCATGTTGCGCTTCTCCTCCTCGCCGCGCCACTCACGACCACCAACGCGCGCGGTGTTCTCTTCGCGGTCACGAGCTTCACTCGAGATGTTGTCGAAGAAGGATGAGCGGCTGTACATGCTGTTGGTGGAAGCGGCCGCAGCGTGGTGGGCAGTATCCTGAGATTCCACCTCCTCGGCATGAGCCTCGGCCTCGGCGGCAGGGACTCCAGTAGCAATAGCCTCCTTGACCAAATCCTGCTTGTTGAACTTGGCATTGGCGGTTTCGAAATCGTAGTCGGACTGGGGGACTTCGATCTTCTTGTGCTGTTGGTGCTGGATGTGGTGACGAGCACCTCCGCGGCCACCACGAGGGTGTTGGTGCTGGTGCTGGTGCTGGTGCTGATGGTTCTGGTGACCTCCGCGACCACCGCGAGCGCTATCATAAGGACGCATGTTGTTCATCTGCTGTGCAAGAGCATCCACTGGTGCGTCGGGCTGCTTCTGAGAACCGGGCTGTGGCAGCTTTGCCATAGCAGCAGCGACAGCAGCAGTGGCAGCAGCGGTAGCATCGGTGATGGGCTGGTTGTTGGCGCGAGGAGCGGGGGCAGCCTTTGGAGCCGCGATCGGAATAGCAGGCATCACTCGACCACTCTTGTGGGGGATAGGTGCGGGGGCCGAGCCGACAGAAGCTTGGACTTCAGCCACAGACGGCTTAGACTCGACCGGTGGGGGCGGGGCATTCTGAGCGGCAGGAGTTGCGTTTCGGCTGCTGGGCTTGCTGGTGACCTTATCTCCAGCGGGAAGTTCAGAGGTGGGCTTCGGGGCGGGGGCAACACCTGGAGGGCCGGGGCGCTGAGGACCAGGCTGCTGACCAGGGGCCATGGGCATCGGAGGAGCGAATTGGCCGGGACCAGGAGGGAAACCATGACCAGGGGGAGGGTACCACCCAGGAGGAGCACCATAAGGAGGGAAACCAGGTCCAGGAGGGAAAGGAGGAGGGGGTCCGAAACGTTGGCCATAAGGTGGGTAAAAGCCCTGTTGGAATTGGGGCTGCTGGGGATAGCCGGGAGGTGTCTGACCGGCACCTTGAGGTGGCTGGGGAGGGCCCTGAGGAACACTCTGGGGCCCTGACTCGGGTCCTTGGCCAGGAACGGGTCGTTGCATGCCCTGTTTCACAGTTAGCACAGGTACGCATAACATGAATGCCCCAGGGCAAAGTGAGATTGATCATCAGAAGGAAGGCAACGGAAAGCTCTACACGGTTTTGCGCATTCAGAACAGGTCTGTGAGTTTACATCCGAAATCTTTCATCACTTGATCAATTGGCCAATAGGCCAGAGTTGTAGGATTCATTGGAGGTTGACTTACGCCAAGAATCGCAGGGTCGTCGGGTACGCGTGGCGCCTCTGGCTGTGGTGCCTCCTTCTGCTCCTCTGAAGCGATGCTGATATCCTTCACATCACTGCCACGGAAGACGATATATTCGTAGACGCTGGTGGAAGGGGGAACCTCCTCTGCGGGGTTACCCCGGCGTCCCTCAGAGCCAAATGACATAACATTCTCGAGAGCTATCGTCGAGGCTTCGGGGTTGATTTCGTGGAGTGTGCCGACATAGCTAAACCATTAGCTCGAGTCATAGATGGCAAACGTAGGAGACTCACCGAATGTCGCTCTTTGAGATCAGGTTGAAACGCTGACTGCCAGGTGTTAACTCCCTCATTACCCCAGAACCTCCGAGTGCGGACTGACCCAATGAGATGGTTCATCTCCATGATTGAGAACTGCGCGACGTCGCGCGGGGGAACGAAAAGTATTAACGGTGACGAGACTGAAGATGAGATAGGGCGATGTTGCGAAGAGAGAAGCGCGTAGAAGAGCAAAATCTGTGGTTTTGTGGTGGATTCGGGCTACGGCGGACTGCGCGAGCTCGGGTAGCAGTTTGACGAGGCATTGGCGGGGGGAGTTTGATAGCATCAACGACAACAACAATGACCACTTCTTCCAATCGAGATCATTTCTTTCAGACATCGTGAGTTACTGTCTGTGGAGTGTATAGTCAATACTAATTGATTCTGTAGCGCTTCCCTGGAGGAGCAGGAGCGGAAAGATGCAAAGTCTCAGAATATCAACGGGAATCCCATCCGCTTGCAGGGAAAGATCCTAGCAGTCCATTCAGACCCATTGAACAATGGTTCAATTTATGTGGCGCAAAGTAATGGCGCTGTGAGAAGGATCATCCTTGCTGTACGTGTAGCTCTAATCGCAGATCATTACCAATTCTCACCTTCTACAGACAGGAGAAACCGCCAAAGTGTTTACAGGGCCGATGGCTCCTGTGACAAGTCTTTGTGTGAGCCCCGATGGAAAGCTCCTGTTTGCCGGGTGCTGGGACAAGGCTGTCTGGAGCTGGGATACGGCCTCAGGCCAACCCCGCCGGAAGTACGAAGGCCACGCCGACTTTGTCCGCTCAATTACCAGTGCGAGGCTCCGTGGAGAGGACCTGCTTATTACTGGTGGTGCTGATGCACAAGTTCTGGTTTTCAAAATCGCGACTGGTGAGCGCATTGAGACCTTCAAGGGCCACACTCGAGGCATCCAAGACCTTGCCGTCGACCCTGAATCGGAGAGTACTAAACCCATTGTATTCAGCGCGGGTAGTGATCGGGAAATCCGCCAGTTCAGCATCTTTGATAGCAGCAATGTCCCTGATCCTCTGCTTCCTCATGAGACCAGCGTTTACAAGCTCTTCTTCGACAACGATGGTGACCTCTGGACTGCTTCGGCCGACAAGACTGCCAAATGTCTGGTTCGTGAGGATGGGTGGAAGGCTAATATGACCCTGGAGCATCCCGATTTCGTGCGCGATGTTGTCATCCATGAAACCGGAGGCTGGGTCGTGACCGCGTGTCGCGATGAAGAGGTTCGAGTGTGGAATCGATCGGTAAGTGCTTTCTTCTTTCTCGGCGATCGTTTTGGAATATGCTGACCGATACAGACCGGCGAACTCTATCATACTTTCTCTGGTCATTTCGAAGAGGTAACTGGTCTCGTTCTCGTTGGATCAACCGTTGTCAGCGTGGGTATCGATGCAACTATCCGCCAATGGTCCCTTCGACCTGATGAGCTTCAGAAGGCTGTTGAGTTGGCCAAGAAGCCCGTGGTCGAGGAGGAAGATCCGAAGACGGAATCCATGCTCACTGAGGAAGAAGAACGGGAGTTGGCCGAACTCATGGATGATTAGATGGTTTGATACCCATTTTGTTTTGAATATTTGCGTACTTGGAAAACTATGTGCATAAATGTTACCATGTTAGAAAGCTGTCGTCTTTAGGTTTGATCACAGATCACAGGTACGACGCTGTACAAAAAACGACCCGATTTGATGCGGCATGATTCTTAAGCTGTGAAACTTATAATATCGGCTGCGGCTGCATGTCATTCGTCTAAGTCTTATCTATATACATAATCTGTACGAAATATCAAGATGTATGCATGTTCATTATCGCTGTAAGGTGGCCACAGACATCACTATCCGGCTTTGACATGGCCAGAGCTCATATTGTTTCAATTTGATGATGTGAGCTATAGCAATTATACACACATACATCTTGAATAAAACTACCCTCTGATTTATAACTCCAAACCGAATAATCTCCTCTGAACTACCGCGTATTGCCCACGTGACCTCCCTGATGCAGCTATGACGCACATGGCCGATCTCCCGCGTTCCCTCGACCTTCGCCCCAACCCCGCCTATGGCGCTTGCTGTTTCTTTACCCCCCCAGTCTTTTTATCACGCTATATACCTTATTCCATTCCAATCATACGTGGGGCACAGGTAACCTACTCCGCGGTATTGCCGGATCCCGTTAGTTATCCCTCTTGAGCTGCGGCCTAACGACCATTTGAGTCTCCCACGGTGGAAAAAGTCTCGATAACTGTACCACCCCGTCACCATGGCATCCTCGGGTGTTCATTCACATCCCCGCCATG